TCACGTCTGCTTCTTTTTTCCCCAGGTGACGTTGATACCAACACATGATACTGAGGTGACACGGGAATGGTACCAGCAGACACATGAGAAACAGCAGGAGCTAAACATCATGGTACTGGCAAGCAGCAGCACTGTTGTGATGCAGGACGAATCTTTCCCAGCCTGTAAGATTGAATTCTAAATCTCCCAGCCCCACTTCATGTTCATTCATCGACTCCAATCACCGATGCAACATCAGAGACACCATCTAATCACAGTCCAGGTCTTCTCTGGTTTAATCCTTTACATGGTTCCCATTTGTCAGGCAATCGGGTACCCATCTAGCTCAGCACTGGATGCCGTGAGAAAGAAGTGCAGGGCTCTGTAATATTCTGGACTGAGCTTAGTTTTGTGCAAGAGCAGTTGCAGGCCAGGGGCGCTTCCACTTTCCCTGCTTTATTCTGCCGCCTGTACAGTTTCTGTAGGCTATCTTGGCTGCCTTGCTGCTATGAGAGCTTGTTCCACTCTCTTCCTGGCTGCCTTGCCATTTAACTTGTAGCACCACGACCCTTGTCTTTCTGGTGAGGGCTAAAATGCTGCTGCTGCATGTTGACGGTGTTTGGGGGGCAGGGAGATAGAGAAGAAAACTAATTTGCAAAGTAAATGGACTGAGATAATGAGGGAAAGTCAAACTTTCCAACCACAGTGTGACAGTGAAGGGCATTCTTCCATCTCCCATCGTGAGCATACAGGTGGTGTTCTAGGTGAGGAGATTTGTACTCCAACTGGGCAGGGCCACTGCTGGCCACTTCTGCAGGCTTCTGTCCCAAATACTTGCTTGCAGACTCCTGCAATGCTGGCTCTCTGTGCTCAGGGAGCCATACTGAATGACATCTTGGGTTGAGAGGAGAATGCTCAGCCTGTTGCTCTTTGCTGCGAAGAGCACATTCCTAACCTGCTAACTTGAGTTTTGCACACCGAGTGGCCGATCTGCAGAGGCACAGAGGGGCCGCTACCTGAACAGTCACACTTGAGAGAATCCAAACGCACAACTACAGCCGGTTCTAAAGCAGAAGGGCTGCAACAACCTGGCCTCTGTTGGCCTATGAGCTTTGAGAAACCTCCCTGCTGTGGTAAACCAAAGGTTTTACTAAGGAGTGTGGTGAGGCAGCTGAGGAACTCGCATGCCATACTGAGATGGTAGTGTCTGGCCCGTAGAGCTGATGTGGGCCAGTTCTGCAAGCAACAGCAGTTTCTTTGCTACATGTATGCCAACAGCCCGGCTTCTTAGCTGTGTTCGAGCATTGTTGCCTAAACTGCCCCCGTCAAAAAAGCACACCCAGGATTTGGAGACTAGAACCTGTGGGATGAGGAGGAAGGACTCGTTGCAGAAACACCTGGGGGAAGTAGATCAGTGACTGTGTTAGCTCATAGCTTCTCCATACCTGTTTCAGGGATGCACATGTGTTGCCAGCACAGAGGAGCTACTTGTGGTTGCAGCTGGCAACCTGTGGTGTCTTTGCTGTATGGCCACCCTGGCAAGCAATGTAGCTGTGTGCTCCGAGGGCACTGTTGCTGCTGAACCCAGAACCTCATTGGCATACAAGCCCGCTCCAGCCATGGGGCTGCCCCTGCAGGGGGACCAACTCTGAGAGTGCTGGTGCTCAAGCGCGCTGCGTCAGCAGCAGCAGGAAGCCTTTGCCAGAACCTGGACCATGTTATGATAGGGATGACTTTAACTTTCTGTAAGACAAAATGAGCAGCAGTAGGTTGTGCTCCTCTGACGAAGGAGAGATGAGATAGAAAGCACTGTTGCAAGGCTTGGCATACAAGTATTTCCATCTGCTGCATCACCCACTGTGCTTGGCCCTGAGCCGAGGTCTGATTCCGCAGTAAGTATCCCAGGACGATGGGCTGTACTTGCCTAGGACACTTCATTTTCTTTGCTACTGTTTTCTAGCAGCTGACACAAAGAAAATGCTGCTTAGAAAATTGCTCCTAGAACTAAAATGGAGCTTCTAGGGAATGGGTTTATTTTGCATTTAATTTATATATTTATTTGTTGATCTTAAGCTGCTTTTTGTTTGGATTTACTGTTTTAATTTATACGTGTTAACTGTACACTACGTGCTCTTGGTGTCAGCTCAGAGGTTTCTCAGTACAAACACTTAGATGCTGCAATTTGAAGAACAACAAAAGGACCACGGAGAATTTGCTGGCAACAGAAGGGGTCTCTGCTTGCAGCCTGCGAGGCTATGTCTGAAACCCAGCAGCTGCAGGACAAAGCCTGAGGCTAGCAGCCTCTCCCTTGGGACAGTCAGCCCTTTCCAACATACTCCTTGGTAGGAGTGTGTGAACTTAACTGGGGGATTTCTGAAATCCCTGGGCTATATTCACATTAAGCATGGAATCACAGTGTGTCTGCCAGAATAAGTGTCATTCTCTGCAACCCAGTGGGATTATTTTCTATGAATGTCAGGTAAAGCAAGCAATTGTAGGCAGTAACTGACCTACTTACGCTTTTCCCAGACGCTGCTCTGGGGTTCTGCCTTCGGTGCTTTGGGGAGATCCTGGTTCACTTGTCAATGGGACTGGATGGCAGCCATCTGCAGGAATAAAATGCCCAACGTCCAGGGCCGGGTAGCTAGAGAAATAAACATGACCTCTTCATTGACTGGGTCCTTGGATCCCTCAGCACGGCTAGGTATAAAAGCTGATGCACTAACTTTAGATAGACCCACATATGAATGTTTCTCAATTTTAAACTTGAAGCAATTCTAACTAAGCAGTAAGAGTGAGGCTTTGCAAGGTGCCTGCATCCTCCCAGCAGGAGTACAGTTGTTGGCACATGTTTCAGTGCAAACACTTGCCTTCTGCGTGCTGTGCTCCTGCACTCTGCAGCTGTGCTGCTCAGACTGCTCAATCTTTCCCCAGTTCAATTCTGTGTCCTCAAGACTCCACAGTTTTTTTCAGACTTTTGTGGCAGTTTCTTCTGCCTTCAGTTCCTCTCTCTTCCTTGTGATCTTCTGAAACTATGGGGAAAAAGAACTGTATAAATTCCAATTTGTAAAGAGTCGGACTCTGCTCAGCCTGCAGGAGCCAGCAGAACCCATCCAGAGCCAGAGGTAATAGAACACTACAGAGAGAAACAGTTAAACTCTGCTTTTGCTTGTTTCTGCATGTGGGCAACAACACGTAATCTTCCTGTATGTAATAGGTACAAAATACTATTTTAAACCTATAATTAAAAAAGAAAAAAGTGAACGTCTTAACTGTATTGAAATGGCAACTTGTGCTCCCAGCTTCTATGCTAAATGTTTTAAAAACAGAGCCCTGATTCTTTTCTTCAGCATCATATTTCTGTTTGAATTTAGTTCCTCAACCTCTGTCCTTTTGCCCTTTTCCACATGAAATACTCTGTAACTAACTACTGTCAAGAGAGGAGCCCAACACATTAATAATAAAGCCACATTAATTGCGAACAAGAACACTTCCAGCTGTTTCAAACCATTCTTTAAGTGTGCACGGTGTGGGCAGGGGTGTGCAGCACTGCTTCTCCCCATCTGCTGCCGTGGCCCAGCCCTGCCCTCAGCCCTGCAGAAGGGATGCCCAGGCTGGGGCAGATCTGCCTCCTGCGGAGGGCTGCTCACTGTTGCAGTCCCAAAGCCGTCTCCTGGCCCTTGGGGGTGCCCGCAGGCACAGCTGTGTGTGCAGCCACTGCTGTGTATGCTGCCTCACAGAACTGCACCGCAGCCCTCTGTCCATCCTCTGATCCTCAGGAACGGCTGCTCTGCCTGGCACGGCTCCCCTGCAACTGGAAACATCCCCCGAGTGTGGGAGGCACAGCCGGGCAGTGCCAGCCTGGAGCCAGCGGGCAGCAGGGCGTGCAGCAGGGCCTGCACACGGTGCTGGTGCAGCATGATGAGGCCCATCCGTATGGCAGCAGCACACCTCTGCCCTGCTGCACAGCTCCTCTGAAGGGAAAGTAACTCTTCTGGGCTCTTCTGCTGCTCAGCTGAAAACGAGGACGGAAGCTACCTGCTCCTGCTGTGCCCAGCTGCAGTCAGGTTGGGCTGAGGCCACCAGTTCAGCTCCTCTGCTGCCCAGGAGCCCTTTGGAGGAAACACTGCACCGAGGAATACAGAGCAAAAAAAAAAAAAGGCAGGGATGGGGCTGCAGATCTCAGAAGAAGCTGCAGTGGGAGGGGAGTGCAGCACTGTTTGTGCAGCATGACAGGGAGCTCAGGGCGGCTGGTGGCAACGGCTGGGCCCTTCGTGGGGCTGAGAGGAGGACCACAGCAGGGCGGAAGTGCAGCAGTGCACAGGCAGTGCCTGAGGGCCCTGAGAAGGATCTGGAGAGCTACTCCACCTCCAGCTTTCCCACGGCCAACTCTCAGGACCAGGCCACACCAAAGCCTAGCAACCTCAGCCCTGATAGGCACAGGCCAGGGAAGCTGCTCATCCAAACCTGAATACCATACTGCCAATAAAAGCCAGAGCTGTTCCATGAGCACACAGCAGGCCTTCTCCCAGATCCCAGCACAAAGCCCTGCAGAAAGGGCGCGGGTTTCCTCCTGGTGCAGAGCTGCACTCAAAGCCACTGTAAGATCTACTGCATTTCAAGTACAAATGGACATCACCTGAAACACCCAAACTGAAAGGTAGAGTTGTTGGGCATGAGGAAACATTACACAGGATGTCCTTGGAACCAGTGAGAAGGAAAACATGAGAGGAACCAAACACTAACCAGAGTCTTCACTCTACAGCAACCACTGTGGGTCCTGGGCAGCCAAGTCCTCTTCCCCCATACAATCAGTTCTTCAAACAAGGAGAATGAAAAGAAGCATCTGGCTTTCTCAAGCAAACCCCATGTGTACGCACTCACTTCAGCAGTGACTTGTCTTGTCCACAGTTTTTTCTTCCTCCAGAATGGCCGAGAACCAGCAAGGCTTGCTGCCCTGAGCATCAGCAAGATCTGGCACACACACACTGCTGCACAAGTCAGCTAAGACAGACACGAGACCCACAGCAGAGATTTACTGTGAACACACATCACAACACAGCACAGAGATCTTTGGGCAGAGCTTCACAAAAACCTATATCGTAGCTACAGACAAACACGCAGACTTGTCCATAAATACAGGAGGCGCAAGAGGCACAGCCCTGTCCTGCCCTCAGGATGCGGCAGGGACTGCTGTGTCAACGTTGCCCTCAGGCTTGCGCTCACAACTCATTTACATAAATATGTATTAAATATTTCTCATTTTATATAGAATAAAGTTTTCTTCTTATTGGTTTCTAATAATCCTGATTTGCTCAAATAGCAGTTTCTCTTAATTTCTGTCACCAAGAGTTCAAAGCTTTACCTCACATGACCCTTGGGGACTAGAAAAACCCGTGTGTGTCCTCCCTGCACACCTCTCTCTGGCTGGATCCCTGGCTCCTGTCAGCCCAGCGCAGCAGGAAAACATTCAAGTCCACTCCAGAGAGAGGTTTTTTTCTTGCAAGTAGCAGTCTTGAACCTGTTCTTCCCATTGCTCTCCTTCTCAAACTCACTCAGAACGCTTTCTCCTTTTCCTATTCTTCCCTCTACTGCCTCTCTGGATCAGTTTTTGGCAGCCAGTAGTGGGGATCAAGAGAAGGAGAAAGAAGGAACAGAGAGGAGGCTGACGGTTGTGAAGAACCCGATTACTTTGAGCCCAGAATGCCTTCCCTGAGGGCTGTGGGCCTACTAATCTCCAGGGAGCATTTGTCTCCTCTGGACTCACCACTCCAAAAGCCTCAGCAATACCAATCCTCCACTGTCCCAGTGAGCATACAGCCCTAGGGAAACGCTGAACCAACACAGTGCCACATCCCTGCTCGATGGAGGTGCATTTGTTGTTCGTTTAACATGGCAGATGAAGTATTGTCTCTTGCTGGATGGCAAAGAGCTGGCTTGTGTAGGAGCAGAGCAGACTCTTCCGCAACCTGGAGTCCTATGGACTTGGGACATGGCTTGTTCCGTGGACAACCATCTGCATGAAGTGCTGTGCAGGAAGTTGCCTCCAGGCTGCCTCCAGGCTAGAAGCGCTCACAGTGTGCTGTCCAGTGAGCTGCTAGTTCTGCTGATCCTCCTGACATGGTGGCTGCAGCCCCTCCACACTCTCCTCAAGAGGCAGCGGTTGTTCCCAACACAGCTGACCAGACAGAAGCTGGTCTGACTGAGCACTGCAGCCCACAAATGGTTCCTCACTCACACTCTCTGGGTCCAACTCTTCTCCCAGAAGCTCCTCTTCACAGGGCACCAAGATGTTCTTGGCCAGCCAAGACTGATCCAGGCCAGTCATTACCCCTATATCTCCCTCATCTGGCTTCACTCTCTCCCCAGCTGGCCTCATCTCAGACTCTGCACCACTCTTTGGTTTCCCTACGTCAATTAGATCTAACATTTCCTCAGCTGAATCTTCTTCCACCTCCACCATACTTTTTTCCTCCAGGTTAGAGTTCTCCTTTGCCAGCTCCTTCTTGCACAGTTCTGGGAGCACACCTGGCTCTGGGTCCTTACTCCAGGTCTCTGGGGCGCTGGGCTCCGTCACTGACAACCCAGCCATGCCCACTTCCACACCAAGCCCTCCACTATCAGGCTGCCTCTCTTGTTCAGGGGACTGGCTACTCAGCTGCTCCTCATTTTTGGGGGGACTGACGGAAAGTTTCTCAGCGAAGTTGAAACGAGTGCAGCTGTCCAAAGAGGTTGGGGAGGATGGGCCTGCACTGGAGACAGTACTGGAAGGGCCACTGCTGTCTGCAAAGAGGAGGAAAAATCATAAAACATTTAGCTGATATTTCTTTAGCCCAAAGCCTGAGCAAACCCAAGCTGTCACCATCCCGCAGTTCTACAAGAAATGGGTGAGGGTCACCTATGTGTCATGCACCCTGGCAGGAGCTTGCAGCTGCTATTCGGTGTGCAGCAGTTCAGCTCATGAAATCACAAGCACAAAATCCACACTTACATTGTTATACAGTGCTACACTGACATTATAGAGCAACACAAAACTTCATGTTGGTATTGAGTGGAAAAGCTTTCTTTCGTTCCCTCACTATTATGGGACACTCATCTCTAACCTCACTGCCCTTGGATCCTGCCACACACAATCCCTGAATGCTGAACTACAATTGTCTCTGGAAAAATAAATACTTCTCCACCAGTGACTGTTCTTTTCTTATGCTGTACAGTGAGTGAAACTAGAGAACAGATTTAGATTATATCTAGTCCATTAAAAGGGGGAGGACTAAACAATTGCTGTTGGCCAGATCAGTTCCTTGACCTCAGTGACAGCTCAGCAAATAGTTCTTCAGGCAAAAGGAGCCAACAGCTAGGAGAAGAGCATACCTGCCTTTCATTGGCAACACTGACTTGTGTTAAGGTGTTTGCTGTTGAACTGTTTGATGGGTCTTTCCCCTTCAAGATGCAGTCAGATCAGCAAAGGGGACAAACTCTAGTCATCACTTCAGCAGAGACCGTGACAAGCAAGGGGTTACAGAAAAGGCCACAAGTGAAGAGTTAAATGGAAGGCTATCCTCTATGGAGCTCTGAGTATGGCATGTATGTGGCTGGTGGGTAAGGAAGTGCTTCCACATGCTGACACTGCGTTGGCCACGTGTCACGGAGAAGCACAGAACTTGAGATGAAAATGAAGTGCATTCAGACTCTCCATGTCCTGTGGCACTCAGCAGAGGATGCCTAGAGAGATTATCCATTGAACAGCAGATTTCCCTGTAATACACAGTACTACAAAGAGCCCCTTTTCCATCTGTCTCTGGGAGCTTTCTAACAGGGCATAGGACTTAAATTTCCTTTTACCTACTTCCCCATTCTGATACTGTTCCATTGATGGCAAAGCATAAAACCAATATCTGGCTTCTACCATTCCACTCTCTTCTCCCCTCCCTCTCCATCACATTCACCCCTGATCAAGAAGAGAGCACACTCACACCAAGGGGGCTTATCCGACCTCTGGCGCAAGGGGAAAGAGGACGATGACAGAATTCGCTGAGACATAAAGGGGTCCCCTGGTATTTGGCTGCCAATCATTGAATCAAACAAAGCTTTAAGGAAAAAAAAATACACAGGTCAATAACTTTCAGGCAGAGAGAAAACAGAATGGCCACAATGAGTCTACATTCCCCAGCAACCACTAACAGGCACTCAGGAAAGAGTTGAAGAGTGCACATACAGAGCTGTGTCTACCCCCAGACCCTGGGAACCTGAGCCTTGGATTTCCCAAGCTGCAGCTTGTCTCCACATCGCTGCGCTGACCAGAAGCAGACAGACCCGGCCAGCCACTCATCCCTCAGGTGTGTGGCCTAGGATGGCTCTGAGCTGGATCCCGCAGCGGACTGTGAGGTTAGAACACCTGGAACAGGCACCTGTGACTGTGCTTGTTGCTCAGTTTGCCCCCAAAATGTAAAAGACCAGAAGTCCTTAACTGCTTGCTTTGGCTCTGCTCTGCCCTACCCAGAGATGAGCCCACCTCATCAGTACCTGCAGTAGACTGAACATGAGATTCACTGCAACTCCTGCACACAGCCGTCAGGAACTCATTGACCTGCCGCAAAGAGAGGGAGTTGTGCAAGGTCTCCAGGGGATAAATGGTGGGAACCATGGAACAGCCTTCAAAACCTGGAAAGAAACGCAATCAGAAAATGAATGGAGTGAACAGCAATCTAAGGCTCCGCAGGACTACTCACGGCGTAAGGAGCAAGGCAGCCTGGGAACCAAACCACCGCCACACTCAGGCCTAAAGTCACCTTTTCTAGGCCAAGAAAATCTCCAAATCACCATTAGGCAATCACATGCAGTTAAAGACCTGAAAGCAAGCATCCAGGCATACGCTAAAGGAGGAGGAGGAAACATCTAGCAGCAGCCAGGTTTGCTGCAATGCCCGTGTCTCTTTTGCTAAAATATCTGGTTATGGGGGAAAACCTGGTGTAGTTCCACAGTTTACAGAAGCTAAACAAAACTCGAGTGAAGTCAGCAGAATTTCCCAGGGCTCCCAGCATCGATGTCTCAACTCCAGCCTGAGACACAGACCATCCTCTGCTCATCGGTCAGTTATGGTGCACTGCTGCCTTTGCAAAGACAGGGAAAAGAGCCTCCCAGCACGCCTAATATACCTAATGTACCCCTCCCCACGCAGCTGTTTGAGCCACGTGTCCCCAAAGAAGACCTCATTGTCTGCAAACCCTGAATTAGTAGAAGTCGTATCAACATCTAACAGACTCTTGCTCAGAGCTAAGCTGAATCACAACCACTCACAATAAATTCTTTGCTATTGAGTCAGCAGCGATTACAGCAAAGCATTCTTCTCTTCATCCGAACTTCCTGATAGTGCTCTGTGGCACTAAGCCAGCCTGAAACTGTCAGAGGAGCAAGAAAGAAATAAAAGTGTCTCTGGGCATATGGGAGTAAGACTCCTTCTGCTCTGCTTCTCTTATTTAAAGATCTCTAAACTCCTTAAGCCCAGGCTCCCCATTCTGCGTGTCCTAAGCTCCCTCCATTGGAGTTCAGAAAAAAAAAATGTAAAAAGGAAAGGAATTGGATCTGTTCCTACAGGTAAGAAAAGTTACTTTGAAATGCAAAAAAGTGTATGGCTCTTGATGCACACACCAGAACTGCAGCTCAGCACACTGACAGGCTAAAATTGGTCCCTGCCCCTACGAACCTGGAGCACCCAGATTGTCTGCTACAAATGTCACTGCTCCAGTCCTTCAGACACCTCCAGATTTTGTCAGCCTTTGCCCCAGTGCATTCATCTAACCCAGGTCTGCAAGAGGCAAGGAACCTGAGCCAGCAGATGGTATTTAGAGTGATTACATGCCATGCAAGGAGGCCACAGATCAGAACATGACCACTTTGCAGTGCTGCATGCATCCACAACCATAACAGCTACTGGAGATGAAGAACCCTCCAGCCATCGAGGGGGGTCACCTACACCACAAAGTGCCTATGAACATTAATTGAGACATGAAGGATAACAAGTCTTTGGCTAGAACAAGGGAATGTGAGACAGAAAAAAATCACCATGTTGTTCTTTCTCTTGCTGAAAAGTCCTTCCTGAATAAGGAAGAGTGTTTATTCATTATTTTCTCACAGGCACCCTGCGAGACAAAGCTAAAGGAAAGCAGTGAGGTAAAGACTTTAAAGACCAGCAGACTGGAGATGGCGTTGGAGAAGCATAGAGGGAGGCTCACGTCAGCTCTCAACAGAATCTGTCTTCAGAGAGACCAAAGTTGACTCAGCCATCCAGATATCCAAAGACAATGGAAAGTAGTTTAAATACAAGATAGGGCAAGGCAATGTTGTTGCAAGATACACTGGAGGCACTGACAGGGATGGGACTGCATGGGCAAACCTCTAATAAAGAGAAGAAATCAAAGATCCAGTGTCAAAGGAAGGGGTGACACCAACAATAGTACTGATAGACAGAGGCCAAGGAAGGCTCAGGTGAGAAGTGTTTTTCGCCCAAATCAATTGTTTTTGCGTATTACACTTTTACCTAAGAGTTCTGAACATCAGCATACATGTTTTCATTGGCAGCGATTACCAAGTTACTACACAGCTATCTGGCTGGGAGCTGTGTTGGCATGGAAAGGTTGCCTGTTCCTGCATAGTGGAAATCCTGAAAGCAAGAGACAGAGCAGTGGCACTGATACATCCCCAAAGTTCTACGTGCCAAAGCTTTGTACGTCAGCTCCTCTGGAACAAAGAACACCTGCCCCAGTCTCAGCACAGATCCTGAAGGGTAAGGAGAAAGCACACTCAGCAAGTTCCCCTCCAACACGCTTGGTCAGTTGAGCTGTATTTTGCTGGCAGAGCTCCAGCATGCCCCGTGTGTACCCATAAGTGTTTGTATGCATGTACGTAATATGCACACGACTTAGGACTTCTGCTAGCAAGCCCTTCTAAATCTAAGCCTGCACAGCCAGCCTGAAGGTCTGTTCTGCTCAGCGGCTCCCTGCCCACAGCGCCAGCAGCGTACATCCATGAAGGGCTACAAGAGCAGACAGCACGTGGGGACTCCTCCCCCAGGCCTGCAGTGACCTTACAGCTCAGAGCCGTTCTGAACACAGTGCAGCATTTTCATGACATTCCGGTCTCCACTCAAGTTCAGCTGCACTTTTAACACCCCCATGCAGACTTATGAGGAGTTTCACTCTGTTTCTGGTATTTTTAAAAATTCATTCCTATTTTATGCTGCCTCCTATTTGGTCTATAGGAAACACCCCAGTTCTTGTGCTGAAGCAGAGGTCAACCTGCAGATCCCCACTGCTCCTCTCCAGGCCACTCACACCACCACCAAAACCACCCTTCCCAGACTGCAGATGTCTCCCTTTTCCCAGTGGTGATGGTCAGCTCCACGTGAAGTTGGGGCCGTTTGCTCATGTTACCCAACACGGATTTACCCTGAACACCACCTGCTGTTTCACTGCCCAGTCGCTCACTATCCCATGCTCCTGTTTCCTCACAGCTGACCTTTGCAGTTATTGTCACTGCTATTCATTACCAACATGAACTCACTTCACACCCTTTCTTTCCTAAACTGGATGAGCATGGATTTCCAGAATGATCACTTCAAGGCTTGATCCTTCCAGCTATGGATGCCAAACACATACTTTTATCTCCTTGTTTCTGTCTTTTGCTTCTTTTCTTTGTTTAGGTAGAAGTATACCTGAGAGCCAAGAAGGAGAGGAGGGGAGTACATAGTTTTACATAGGATAAATTTGGACTTTCAGCTACAAAGACAGGAGAAACTTCTCTAAGCAGGGGTTCCAAAGGCACTAATTAACTGCGCTCTGAATGGCAGTCAAGCTGAGGAGAAAAAAAAAGAACTTACTGAGTGCAGACATCTGATTTCCACATAGGAAACTCACTACATTGATGCACAGAGCTCATCAGCCCGGCTGCATTAGAATAGGTGGTACAACCCAGCATCATACTGCAATATTTGGAGTTTATTTGCCCAAAGTGCTGAACTCATTTCCTCTCTCTGCTGGAGCTCACGTGGGAAGGTTGAGATCTGCAGTAGAGGAAGCTCAGCTTTAGCTTTGAAGCAGTCTGCTTTGTTCCAGTATCTCATCCCTTGAAGCAGTTTTGATCCTCTTTAGTATTTGTTGCTAGGAGACCAAGGATTGTCCTAATTATAGATGAAAAGCAACTGCCATCTCCAAGCTGCCTACTCGGTAGAAAGGGCTGTATCAAGAATAAACAGGCTGTATATAAAAAATTCTCTTTTCTAGGCTTTGAAGATGTTTGATCCTGTTGCTTCCCTGCCCGAAAAGGTGTGCTATGTCCGCCTCTGCCACATATGGGTCTGAATGAAAAAAGAACTCCATGCATCACACCACACATTCAGCAAGCCACATGCACCAAGCAGGTCTTATGGTGCAGCCAGATACCCCTCTCAGAGAGGAATCTCCTGCTTGTCTTAGAAGCACTGAGACCTCAATGCATCAGATTTCCCACCTGTGCCAGAGGCTGACAAATAGCCAAGAAGCACTGATTTATAACTGCTTTATAGATTTAGTACTGGAATCACCTGCCTCCCCCCATCTGACACGCTGCAAACTTCCTAACAGGTGAAACAGATGCCATGCAATGCAGACGCACAGAAGCTCAGCGTCTACCCTAGCTTAACTTGGTCTCTCTAAACAACACAATCCCATAAGCACTCATTTCCCCTAAATAAATTTCCACTGCACGTTCCTTCACTCTGCCCGTGATCAGCTGCAGTGCCTCCTTACTCTCCTTTCTTTCCACACTCTCAACCCTTCGGTTCTTCCATCAATAAGGGAACACTAAGCAGCACGCTACTGAGACCCGGGCAGGTGTATCATCACATCAGCAGGACACCACGCTGGCAGGAAAACAGCATTTGCAGAAAGCTTATTGGCTTACCCTGGATAAAGGAAGAAGGCAATGAACAATTGCCCAGGATGGAAAGAGCAGAGTTAGAGCTACACAAAGAGCACTGGCTCCACGTGGAAAGGCTGCTCCTAAGGCTACAAAACTGCCGGTACAACAGCCCGCACGCCTTGCTGCAGCAGCAATCCAGAGATGTAAGGGATGCAGTGAGGGGAAAGGCTTTCCTTTTTTTAGAAGCAAAGCATACTTTGCATTCTCAAGCATACAGTGGTCCCCGCTCAGCTCTAAGAGCACGGGACTAAGGCAGCTGCAGCGTGCAGTACCGTAAAGACACTCCAAGTCATCCTGCCCTGAGATCAGCCAGCTCCTGAAGAGGCGCAGGTGGTAGGAGCACTGCTGGAGGTGATGGGCTAGGGTGGCATCCAGGCAGATGTTCCGGCTCGTGGCATAGTCAGAGGAAAAACGGCGCAGCAACTGGGCAACGTGGTGGTGCTCAAACGCATCTGGAGGAAAGGGGCCACAAAGAGTGAGAGGAGCAGGGAGGTGCAGCTGGGAAACAGAAAAAATGTAGAGATGTAGGAAACGGAGCTGCCAGCAACGGGGCTGCTGCGCAGGAGGTGACCCACATCACGCACTACAGCCCGGTCCCCCCCCACTAAGAACAGGAACACCCTGAGTTCTACGCACCCCATATCGGAAGGCAGCAAGGCAAGCTCCCGCCTGACCCAGCCTCTGCCAAACGCAGTGCATGTGGGCAGTCTCACCACAGGCTGAACGGTGAGGTTTCATCTTCGTAAGTGAAGTCGGACAACTGAAAAAATTCCACGTTCTAAGTCCTGTACGCTTCAGGTTCAGCACCATAAGGACATCGTCCCAGACTCACCCTCGCAGCAGACAAGAAATCCAAACTGCCAACAAAGCACAGCGTCCTGCATCCAAACGCAGCCGCTCACTTCATCAGATGTGGGAGAACAAAGGACCTGACACCGAACGTCTGGAGGCGGCGCGAGGTGCGCTGGGGGCAGCACGGCTCGACTGAGAACACATTGTTAGCGCGTGTGGAAAAAAGAAGTGCGGATGTTCCCTCTCGAAACTCTCAAGAGAGCCCTGTGCAACCTTTTGTGATGTTCTTGCTATCGCATGGCAGACAGGATCCTAACCTACAGGCCTGTCTTCTCCCCTATTCATGCAGCCTCAAGACTCGTGTCCTGCTGCCAAGACTCATGAAATCAGGTGATAAACCATCTGGCCTGATCCTGTGCTTGGCCACTGCTCTCTGTCACCCATCCCACCTAATCAAGTAGAGGCAGCTCTTCAGAATAAAAATATCCAGATTCAGGGCTGTGAATAACTTTTGCATCCTCAGGTAAGTGGTTCATGCAGCTAAACACCTTTCCCATTAAAACCAGTGCTATATCTATGCCAAATTTTATGCTCACACCTGCTAGACACCTGCTTTCTTCATTAAGAAGCACTCTGCCATGAAGAAATATTCACTGGGTGCTTGGGAAAAACCTGATGCTGTTTCACTTTATTATACTTCTGTGGGGGGCAGTTGCTTTACAGTATGGTTTAGGACAGGGTGGCACTTGGTTCTGTTGACAAGATAGAACGTCCTGCTAACACACACATCTCCTCAGATGGCACCCAGACATACAAGCAGATTGAGCAGCCGCCCCTTCTGGGAAGAACAAAACCAAGCAAACTGAAAGTAGGTTCTCTTTGGATAGCTGAAGCAGTAAGGCCACATTTAGCCTCCCCTCCCTCCTTCATCTTTCCCAGAACTTTGGTCTTTGTAACCACCTTCTGGACTTCTTTCACCTTACAGATCACACAGAGCAGAAGTTCTCTGTATTTATTAAGAACAGGATTTTAGAGGCAGCCCTGATCACATAGGACGGAAATGCTTAACCCAGTATCTTTCCACGATCTGCTTTGGTTCTAAATTGTCTCATGAGTTATGGGTAGGAGCAATGCTATGAAACAAATGCTTGCAAAAGCTTCTACACACGGCTTGGATAATAAATAGTAGCTCAAGGAATCTTCTACAGCAGAGCTAGGGGTCTTTAGCCTCAAGAGATCCACAGTTCCAGTGATGGGTTACTAGTGAATAAACATAGGCACTGTCAGACATCCTTCCTTACCAAGCCTTGTCATAGCTACCAGTATTACAGGAGTGAGGATGGTTGAAGACGCGCCGTGTGGCACGTTGCTGACTTTCTCCTAGCTTGGGAAAGTGGCAGGGCCAAGGCAGCACTGCACATCAACAGCAGATGGATATTTTGGAGACCATTCCCAGGAAAATGTCTGCAGGGAAGGTGAGACCACTCCCACCAACACCACCGTGCCTGGGGTAACCAAGGGCCCAACCTAACAAACCAGTCTGCAGATAGGAGTACTGGTAGCTTCGTAGCCTCCTAAGACCACTGTGCTAAGGAATGCTGCTGGCACCTCCCACCCTCCCATCACAGACTGCACTTTTCCAGGATCTCTTCTTGTTCCAGACCTGAAGATCCGCAGTGTAGAAGCTGAGGACCAAAGTTGCTGGTGCTCTTAGGATATGAAGTAGACATTCCCCCCACACACCTCAGGTCCAACGGCATTCTTCCCACAACCTCCACCCTCTGCAAGGCAGCACTGTAGAAGGCCTTACATCAGCAGTGGATTTAAAGGCTGCTTTAGGAATTCCATTCACAGTCACTGCTCTTAATTATTCATCTGGGACAAAAATGCAGTCTGACGGACCTCCCACAAACAGTACAGGAACCACTGAGCAGTAACAGCAGATGAATGAACAAGCCAGTCACAAGGAGACAATGGGGGAAGGTGAAGCATGGACACCGGGTACACAGACACGCAAGAAACCACAAGAAGGCTGAGAGTATGTGCAGAGAGGAGAACCGAATGTGAGCATGGGGTTAGAAGTGTGAGGGAACGTCAAATCAAGGAAGCAAACGTACCATTAGTCGGATGCTTTGCAAACGACACAGAAAATCGTTTTACGGCTGGCATAGACAAGAGCTCTGAGGAAATAAAAACAGATCATCTCAGTTAACAGTCTGCCTCTAGGGAATCCCCAGTTCACATGCTTGCCTCTGCCCTTTCAGGTGCACCTCCTGCTGGGCCCCCCCAACACACCTCCATTGGCACTGCCGCCGTACCCCAGGCACGATCTGCCTGCAGGTTTGAGGGAAGCTCTTGGGTTCCTCACACACTATCAGCTCCCTGCTTCCCTTGCACTGTCCTGTCAGCGTCTCTCCTGGCTCTTCAAGGACATCAGTGGCTCTCCCTCCATCACAGACAGCAACACGTACTTCCCAACACACTTCCAGCACAGTTCAGTGAGAGATGCAACAAGGCCACACTCGCAGCCACATAGCTGTACCAGGCAGTCAGCAGCACCACCACAGATCCTGAAAGCCTACAGCTATAGTCCTCAGGATCCACCACTGCCCAAAGAAAAGACTATTCTGCAGAACTGAACAGCCTTGGCACTGCTAAATGCAGCTCAAAGCATCCTCTAAATGCAAGCTAAGCAGAACTATTTAGGAATCTGCAAGTTAAATCAATGAAGTAATTCGGGAGCAAGGAGAAGATCCATGAAGACGTATCTCTGCAGTTCTGCTGCTCATAGCATGTCAGTACAGAAGAGGTTTTGGGGATACACCTGTCAGGCTGCTCCTCAGGCTTCCCCTGGCTGTGAATCAGACCAGACCAAATTCTCACAGAAATCACACATCAGAAGTCAGTACAAAGAGGGGCTCTGTGTATCTGCTGATGGGGCACAAATAGATGAGTTTGTGGGTTGGTCTCCACATGCTCAAAAAAAAAAAAAACAAAAAAAAAAACACCACACCAAAAAAACCCCAAACCACACACTTCAGTTTATTCCCTCTGGGAACTCCTCAGTTACTATGGAAATAATGGTCTGCATAGATCACCTGTATGCAGGGTCTGATGGGAGAACCCACCCAGTCATGCCTTTCACTACTACTCAGGACCTAAGGATGTCATTTCTATTTAATGCATTAATTCTACCTGGTCAACGTAGTCTTTATACACGCCTGTCACTTATACTGAGGTTAGGAGATTCACTTACCAATTATGCTTCCTCACCCTATACTGTGCTTCCCTATTTACACCCACTGACTTGTCCACATAGTATACTTAAATCAGCTCTCAAAATTGCTTCAATTTTCCTTTGCAGCATAACAGCCTTAAAAAATGTGTTTGTTTTTTTTTTTCCTCTTTTTAATTTACAATCAGATGGCAAAGCTCTTTACACGTGTCCTCTGAGAACTGTGCGAGCTCCGGTGCTGCGGTCACACAGATGGTAGCCACCATCAGCCTACTCAGATCTCCTTCTTGCATTTACAAGAGCCTCAGTTTAGATGGTGCTGCAACATAGGCTACAGGATCCCTGGATTCAGACAACTGAACTTCCAAGTATCACCAGAAGACCTTCCTTCAACCTGAGCTTGGGACACAACCCTCCACTGAAGCATTCCTGAGCCCTCTTCCAGTGCCAAGCAGAGAGACTGAAGAAATTAGAGCCACTTTAATTTCACTTGAGCAAGTCTTAGATGAAGTGCCACAAGCCATGCGCCATATGTTGAAGCATCACAGCCATGAAAAATGCCAGCAAACGTGTGCTCCAAAGCCTGGAGACTTTTTAAAGATTATCTGACTGAGAAAAAGGCCCTGATGCAAACATCCTCCCAGTGTCTGCTTTAGCCATGTCACTTACTGCACTCAGCCCTGGTGGTGTTTGGCTTCAGTGCCAATGTTCATCATTTCATTGGTGCCCATTTAAAAGGAAAGGCCCAGAACAAGGGCTGACCTCATGTCCCACACTACCTTCCTCAGGAGATAAATGCCCTTCTACCTCCTACTTGTTTTTCCCAATTCCTCACTGTAACACTGCAACGTGATGGAAAGTACAGCAATAACAGCAGGGTGGCAAAATCTTTGGCTGCAGCAAATGTGAACAAGCCCATATGCAGCAGCCATGGATGCAGAAATGAAAGAAAGAAGCTGCTCACCTCTGGAAGGCCTCAGGTAGGCAGGGATCTCCAGAGAGATACCCTCACCTCCATTGCCAACCCTTAAGTGGGGCTGGAAGGGCTCCAGCCCTTCCTGTCACTCAGGTGCACTGCACATTCCTGAGCTCCCCTGGGCTGGCCCTGCCTTCCACCAGGTGCTCCATCACTGCTGCTGGCTGTGACTCAGCATTTCTGCTACACTCATAGTTACTATGATTGCAACAGAGCACTGGCAACACAGAGTGCTGTAACACACTGAGAAATATGAAAAATGAAATGTAACATCGAGGTGAATAACTCTGGGCTGTTAGTCAAACGTTAGTTAAGTAAGTCTGACTTGTAAGTACTTGAGTGCACAGCTGCATCTCAGGACACAGAACGTAGAATTTAGGCTAACACAGCAGGAACGTGCCCTGGCCCTCGACTGCCAGGAGCCAATTGCAGGCACGCTCTTAGTACACAGCTAACAGAGAAAGGCAGCACTGCAAAGGGAATGGTGGGACTGGACAAAATCCGCCCTGGTACCAGCTGGGTACAGAACAAGCAGTCTTTGACAGTTTTTCCTGAGAACAGTAATTGCCTTTGGACCTATGGTGTTTGCTTAGAGTGGAAGAAAATCAGTCAGTGTCCTAGCTGGCCTTTTCAGTATTTCCTGTGGTATTCATACCCCTGCCCTGTGCCAAACACCACGTGCTTCTATTCTGGGACCCACAGACAGCCCGCACTTGCTGCCTTGAGCAGCTCTGGCTTATGCAGCAAGGCTTGACAAACCCTTCCAGCTCACCCTCCTTGTCTCTGTCGCACAGCCTGATGTGTGCTAAGAAGCTCCCTGAAGAGGTGAAAAGCTGTGCAGTCTTCTCTTACACTGAAAAGCAGCACAGAAAACCAGTGTACATCACGGCCTCTGTACAACAGTATTCATGGGGTTCCAATAGATCTCAGAATGGGTAACATCTTTCCACCCTGATATGTTAAGCCTTCATCCTTTTTATGGGTGTTGTGGGGGTCCCATCCCTGGAAGAGTTTAAGGCCAGACTGGATGGCCTTTGGGCAACATGGTCTAGTGGGAGGTATCTCTGCCCAAGGCAGGGGGGGTGGAAATGATGGTCTTTAAGGGCCCTTTCAACCCAAGTCATTCTGTGATTCTACAATTTCGTATAGCTAAGGATGTGGTTGGCTTTCTGGGGTGTAAGTGCACCTTGCAGACAAATATTCAATTTTTAGTCCATCAGTATCCTTAAGTCCTTCTCTGTAGGGCTGTTCTCAATTAATTCATCACCCAATCTACTCTAATTGATACTTGACAGAGTCTTACTGGGATCATGATGAACACTTTCACTGGTGCATAACATCCCTACAACTCCTCAGTCTTCTCCTGTGCTCCAGATTCCTTGAAAGTAGCAACAGCATCTCTGCTTCTCAGTGCATAATTCACTTATGCCATCTGGAGACAAATCCTCAGCTGGCAACATCCCTTCATCCATGCACACCAAGCAACAGTTGCACTGATGATCCAAATACCAGACTGCCCTGCTGACCTATGCAGCTGTTTCTACAGACCACTCACAATAACTCCAAGTCCTTCCACAGGCACTTACAGCAGGCATATCACACCTATTACACTGCCCTCTGACAGCTATCTCAGGTTCTTCTGCATGCCCAGCACACAGCTAGGGACTTCAGTACTCAACTTGTTTCCCTCAGCACATCACATTGCCCCATCTTCTGTAGCCTGAGGATTAATTTCTCAATAGAACCTTGGTTTAACCTTGGTCAGTAAGGTCAACAAGGTAAGCGAGATGATTTTGCATGAACCAGGACAGACCCATCTCATATCTAGACCGATAATCCTTCCTCAACACCAGTAAGCAGTATTAAAATGCCAGAGAAAAATCAGCCACCAGCACTACATATACCAGCATTACCATACATCAACATACAGCTCCTCACACAGTGCCAGCCCCTGCCTTGTCCTAGCAGTGATCGCAACCTCTTGGGATACAACAGAATGCATTACTGTAGATGAGGTGAATATGCACATCTGACTGTGCTGCTCTTCTTAGCAGTCTGAGTCTCTGCTTTTGTAGCTCCCTGAGATACCAAAGGCCACAGATTAACCTGCTGCACAGAGAACACACATACCGTCTTTGTATGTCAGGCTGCTGGCAAACTTTTTGCCATGGCTGCGTGCGTAGTCCTGAAGGTTGGGGGCACTGGAGGAGCCTCCCAGCACAGTGGTGCTAAACAGCCCGGTGCACTGTGACCCTGGAAAGGCATGGAAGGTGTTAGTATGACATCTCCACACCATGCAACTACAGAAAAGCAGTGTTAGTTGAAGAATGAGGAATAAACTGCCCGCTTAAGAAGCGATCCCAGGAAATACACGACGCTGGGGAAGAATGGGGAGGCAGTATTCCCCATTCTGAATTCAGCAGTGCCAAACGCACAGCAGGTAGCCAATATTCATCTCCAGGAAAGTTTCCAACTCCTTCCAATGGTTTATTTCCCCCTGGCTCTTCCAATCTAATCTAGGAAAAACATCCTGACACCAGTCAGCAAAACCAAGTACTCCAGTCAGAAAAGCCAGGGTGCAGATCACTGATGCTCATTTCACACAACATCTGCTCTCCTGTCCTTTCTCTTTGGAAGGTCTCTCTTCTGCTGGACACTCAGAAGAAAGAGCTAGCTATATCTAATGCATTTCAGGGTGTTGAAACTGTTGCTGCAAATTGAGATTAATCACACTGTCAATCAGTAAGGAAGGCAATGGGACAAGAGAGCTTTCTTTCACACCCACTTGGTCATGCACTGACTCCAGAGTCAGCCCAAGTGTCCTGTGAATGACCTTATAAAGCACCAGAGGCGCACACAGTGTGAAGCTCTGCTTATCCTATGGTGAGGAAGAAGGCATGCATTACATTCTCATGCACAGGAGAGTGCACGTGAGCTCCGGTGAGTGCTGGTGTTTGCACAGCATTTTTCAAAGTGGCCTGACATTATGTGGTATTTGGGGAACGGCTGGGTATTTGAAACAAGACTCTCAACCACAGAAAGCATTTGTGTGTGAGGGAAATAAAACCACACAACTTACTATTGAAAAGATAAAACCACTGATTGTCTATAAATTCCTTGTTCGACCGCCTTGATACTACATTCTGCAAATACCATCTGCTAAAAACAACAGTACTCCCACATACCTGGCTTCCAGAAACAAGCAGGTTGATCTTGCTCTACCTCATCTGCCAGAACAAGAAGCCTGACATACTGCCTACCGGTATTTAAGTGGAACAGTGCACCTGTTATTACTGTTAAAAGAAATAAATTCTTCCTATCGTGGAAGCAGCTCTTGGTCCTATAACGTGGAATGATTTAAGTTGGAAGGAAACCCTGTGAGGCTTCCAGCTTGGATCAGCTTCCAGCTTGGATCAGCTTCCTAGGATGCGTTCAGTCTTGCATACCTTCAAGGAAGGAGATCACAGGAAGATCCCAACTCCCTGTCCCAATATTTGACATGCTTATGCTGAAAAATTAGTTCCTCCAAGGCAATTGGAATTCCCTGTGTTGCAACTTCTATTTGTTGTTTCTCTGACTCTGTAATCTCCTGCTCAGGTGGTTGAACAGCATTAAGGTCTCCACCAATCCATGCTGCAGCTCCACACCCCCCCGCTGCTGCTCTGCCCTGGGCTGACGCCTGCTACATCCATGCCCTTCTTCACCCATGGAGCTCAAAGCAGGCAGCAATCTTTCAGACACAGTCTCACAAATGCTGCACAGAGGGGAAGGACCAGCTTCCTCAGCCTGCTGGCTGCAGTCCTATTAACCTGGCAGAGAGAGCAAGCCATCTGCCTTCTCTGGTTGAAGGACATGCTACTGCCTCACATCCATTTGTCACCCAGGAGGACGCCAGGTCTTTTTCTACAGATCAGCATTTTAACTGGAGTCTTTTCGGGGAGGGGAAAAAAAGAAAAAAAAAAAGGAGATTCTAAGCTTTGGGTTACTGATGTGTAAAGCTCAGTCTCAGCTGATATCTGCTCTCAGAACTGTGGAGGCTGACAAAAAGAGCTGTCATATGCACTGAAGTAAGCGACTCCACCACCGTAACACTGCTAGTGGCTTTCCACTGGGCAGACCAGCATGTTTTGTCCTTGGACAAAGAGCAAACAGCTCTTGCCTGCAGGGTAACTGATACACAAGTCTGAGAACATTTCTCCTAATCCCAGTAAGGGAAGCTCAGTGGTGACTCAGCGTGAAACAGGAATCTATCAGAATGCAAACAAAATTTTGTCAAGTGGCAGCCAGCGTGATGCTCAGAGCCATATTGTCATGGTTTAAAACAAACAGCAACAAAAGACAAGACTCATTTACTGGCAAATGAAAATGTAACTATAGATTTTTCTCATTTCCCTTCTTGTGCCACCAATCATTAAACTAAGGACAGCCAAGTGTTTGTAATCATACAGTAGACAAAGGCACTTTGTTGGCACCCTTAAACACAAACAGAATTTACAAGCGTGACTCTGTGGATGACAGCGATTGTCTACAGTGAACTCGCTGTAGCCAAATTAGACAAAGAAGCACACATCCTAAAGAACACCATACTGGCACGTTGGATTTAAGATGTAGCAGTGCTTACAAGGAATAACATAATATGCCGGATCATTTTTGTATATTTGACTTTCAGATGTACATTCAATGTTTCAGATGTTTAAAAATGGATATCCCTTGTTTCACTCTCACTAGGAGTGAAAGTCTCAGCACAAAGCTGCCAGCCCCACTGGCAATATATCACCTCTTTAACAGCAAGGAGTGATTTCATCCTGTTTCAAAGTGCTCTGCAAGCAAAGAAAGGCACTGAAACATCCGTATGCTTCTAGAGCTAGAAGTACACACACTACTGCAGACAGTCCAGGATGATGCACTTGTTCCTATCCAGAAAAACAAGGCATACTCCAAAGCAGCATGCTGTACAGACAAAGCAAGCTGCAGCCTTCGCTTCTTCCCAGCAGCCATTTCAAGGCATTTCTGAATTACCACAAAGACACAATTCTGGCAGACATGGCAACAGGGCAACAGCTCTGCTCTGCTTCTCCTTCTAAAATGACTCAACATGCGAGGGAATGTCTGAAGAGATGCACACGTTCCCTCTGAGATAACAACAGCCAGACACCGGCAAGGTCAGGCTCTGAGCCTCAGGAAAGCTCAGAAACAGCAGGCAGCTTCTGAATGAATCACCTCACAGCACAGCTGCTGAGACAAGCATTGAAGGCAATGTTGAGGATCCTGTGAGTTCTATGTACTTTCTCCAAGACAAAGCGCACCTCAGATCATAAAGGGAGAAGACATTACACTTCTATAAAGAGAGCAGGAAAAGAACCCTGAAAATTCCTTCAAGAGCTTGGCTTTCACAAGTAAAGAAGCATCATTCTTTTCAGCAGCCCACGGGATGAGCTGAGAGAAATTCACAGAAACAGACATTCTGATAAGCAAAACTGTGCAGCCTGGTGCTGCAGCACAATACCAGCTCAACCCTTCCTTGCACGCAGCCACAAACCTCCATGGGGGAAATGGTGCCTGAACTGAGTATCCAGACAGAGCTCCAGATCTGCTCGCTCAGCTCCCACCCCAAATTTTCCGTCTGCAGAGCTTCACAGCTGGGTGAATGATCAGCAAAGGCCTCCCAGTGAGACTAGTCTGGCAAGAACTTGAAATTAAACCTGATGAGAGTGCACTTCAAATTTTGTTGTCAAGCCCAGTACGGTAGTAGTCTTCTCTATTTCCAAAACAGAAACCTGGGATATTTCCTAATTGTAGCAAAGAAAATTCCATCAAATTGACAAGAATTGGTTTCCAAAGCAGCAGCTAATTCAGAAGTGACAAGGCAGTGACCAGGCCCTTCAGATAACGCTTGGCTGCAGGGTGCCTGTGCCACAGAGTGAAGAGTCAGTAACAGAACTGCTGAAAGGAAACCTGCGGCCGTGCCTCAGAATCAAATGCAAAAAAAAATAAAATGGCTCTAGAGAAAAAGAAAGTGAGCCTAACTTGGGCATTTCCATTCCCTGGTGCTTTTTAGGCTTCTGCAGGATCTGTGTTTCTCTGTTTAGAACCCCCTGGCACCAAAGACTGCTATTCACCTTCCAAAAATTTTTTTTGCTTTAGCAAAAATATTTCAGGAAGAATTTCCACAGCTCAGACACAGTTTACAGGAGGATGGCAAGGAATGGTATTCTCAAGGACACAACAGAGAACACCAGCTGCTCCAAAATATTTTCTCCCACAGGCTACCATGCAAAAAACAGCTAAGCAGGGGATCCCAGCTCTGAGAGCTGTCAAACACTGCAGCAGATGATGATGGATCTGCTTCATACAAGAGATCTTCAGGAAAAAAAGGTGGAAAAACAACAGCTTTGCATGTAAACTACTCTCCTGCAGAACAGAAAGTATTCCAGATCTCAAGTGAAATCATCTCCTCCTACAAAGTTTAAAAATGATGTAACAAATGAGAGCAACACAGAAGCAGAAGTTCAGTCCGTAAGTTGCTCTGTTGCTCGGGTTTTACGTGGGATGACAAGTGCATCTTCTGTAGCTGCAAACTGAAGGAGGAGGTCACGCACCAAAGTCATTACAAAGTGATAAGCTCTGCTGCAGTCCAGGCAGTAACGCTACAAGAAGACACAACGCACACAGAGAGACGTATGAGGAACTCGAGCCAGAGAAATACAGGGAGGGACAGACAGATGCACATGAGAGTACAGAGGTACAGATGAGCAGGTTGGGAGCAGGTCAAGTACAGTACCTAAGCCACTCTGCTTCATCTCAGAAGCTTGCCTGGAGTAAGTGCTGAAGAGGCGATAACCTTTGGAAGAACATTCAGAAAGCACCTGCAAAGAGAGAGTACGATCAGGGCCATGCCCTTGTTACCCACTGCTGTCAAGTGGTTTTGTACAGAAGTAAAAAGTGCCTCTTGCTTAAAAATCACAATTTTCAAGAAGCATACAAGTACTCTTATGCTAAGACTGTGACAACGTGTGCTCACTTTTAATTTCATGTTTGCCCGGGGATGTGGAACAGTAGAAATTTCAGAAACAGTAAGGGATCCCTGTATTGAGTTCCTTGTCTCCTAAGAGCACTGGGATCACTGGGACTTCCTTCTTTTGCAGCAGAAACGTATAAATATCCCCTTCAACACAGTAGTGCCCAAGGCAGACTCTCAAAGTACTGCATACAGAAGTCACATCGCGGGTGACACAGCGGCAGAAGCCAGCTAACAAACAGTTCATGTTCCGATGCTGCTTTCCCTACCAGAAAACAGATACCAAAAATGCTCTCTCAGAAACTCCCTGCCCCTCCTCCACGGGGAGTTTGTTAGGGCAGCCTTCCCAAAAACTCAAATTCCTTCTCCAAATCAGTCCACAGGAGCAACTCAAACTGTTACGTGAAGAGGAATCTCAGGAAACTAAAATGAGGCAGAAGACCTTTATGAGACCAACAAGAACAGCACTTTTACCTCCATTGACCCCGTCTTGCGGTTCCTGATCAGAGGTGATCTCCGCTGAACTCCAACGGGCTCAGAGGGCTGCGGAGACCTTGGCTGGGCGCGATCGGGCTCATCCACGCCCTTCTCTTTGGAGAGGTCCTCCAGGCTGCCTTGGTCTGCTTTCTTGTCCTCGCTCTGCAGTAGGGAACACCGACAGCTGCAGGCATACATCCGTACCAGGCGCTGCCCAGGGCATTCGCTCGAGGCCGGGATCTCTGAGCTCTGCTAAGCGCAGTCAGATACCAGCACTCCGCTCCTCCTCCAGCAATGTCTGCCCTACAAAGCCCACGAAGCCAGGCAGAAACGTGACCCGCCGAGTCCATGGGCACAAAGACGGGCTGGAGGAGAGACGCTGCTGGGGCCCAGGCCGCGCCGGCCGGCAGGGCAGCAGGACGCGCAGCAGAGGCGCACGCAGCACGGCCCCGTGCAGGGCAGCCCTCTGCCCCGCGCCCAGCACAGCGCACTCACCTCCGCTGAGGCAGGCCGAAAGCCAAATCCCGTGGGAACGTTTCCGTCCTCCTCACAACCCTTCACACCGGGGCTGAAATGCAGCTCCACGTGGAAGCGCTCTTCTGAAGATGGGTCCTGTGAACAGCAGGGACGGGGAATAAGTGAGGACGCAAAACCGCAGGCTGTCAGCACAGGCCACGGTCTGGGCTTTGGCCACCCTGCCATGCTGGTGCAGCATGCACCCCGACAGCACCCTTCGGAAGAAAAGCAGAGGCAACAAGAACCCACAGACATACTGGCTCTGGGACTGCCTGGTCCAGAAGTATGGCCCTCATTAGCACAGAGCTGAGGCGTTCAAAACGTTCTTGTTCTGTCCCAGCTGCCACCAGGGGGCCAAAACAGAATGGGTTCTAGTATATATACATGGAACTAAAGCACAGCTTTTGGCAACAGAGACCACTCTGCTGCAAGACCGCTTACAGGCATGCGGAGAGACTGGCTCCCTCCCAGACCTTCAGTCAAGTTGCTCCAAGATTAAGTAACAGTCTCTAATAATTATTTAAAATAATACCTATTTTTAGAAGGCAGACAGAACTTTTACAGCTTCCAGCACTAATGATAACCCAAAGTTTCATCATCTCTACTTGCTCTGCCACTCAAGATCTCCATGCCGCCATTACAATCCCACATCTGTCCTCTGAACGTGACATTCTCATTCTGAATCTAGCAGAGTAAAGCACTGCTCCTCTCGCCACAACCTCCTGAAGCACAGATCACAGAATCTGGGATTCAGAATGCACACTTCAGTGCCAGAACTATTTATGGCCATCGCTGCCACCCATTCCACTTTCCACCCATTTTTAAGCGGTTGTCTTTTCTTCCTGAAGATACCCGTGTACAGTTCCCTAACTATATGAGTAGATTTTTAGTAAATACAAAACAAGTTTATGAATATGTGATTTCTGGACGTTTTCTAGAAATACTCTGAATAAACAGCCAAATATAAATTGCTTTTAATTTGTTTCCTATTGTTAACTTGTAATTAATATTAAGAAACAACAAATTGTTTTGCTTTAGGGCATGCTTTCAAAGTGCTACTATCAATTATGCAAGTTTGGCACTACTGCTCAGGATGGTGTTCTGCTTACACGTAACAAACTGTAAGTGGGTCACTGCCTCACACCTAAAAATAAGAACTAGCAGTTGTGTCAATGATCCAGCTGTCTTTATCCACAAGCTGAGAGCTCAGATCACAGGATTCCCAGCTGATCTTATCTCTCAGGGGCTGCGCCCAGCATCGTGGCAGGAAGGATTTTGTCCTACAGCTATATCCCTCACCTTGTTGTTGTCCTCGTAGAGCATGATAACAATCTGGGTCATGTAGTTCAGCTCTGAGATAGCACTCAAATAGTCCATGGCTCTCTTCCACTGCTGGTCTTTGTTCTCCTGATATATATATACACATAAACAGTCGCGTGGAATAAGCAACAGCAGACACCTTGCAGCATTCAGTGAAATGGGTCTGAGAGACTTTGCCTCTCCACAAGGTAACAGCATTGTCAGGACAAAAACAAGAGAGATGGCCTTGCACTGAGGGCAGAGTGCTTACAGGAAGGAGCAATTGCACACAGGGACACTACAGCTCCCCACCCAACCCACGTGCAGATCTAAGGACACCCAGATGCAAGCCCCTGTGCCATGCTGACTGGAGAAAAGCGTAACCCACAGCAGCTCCCAAGCACAGTCGCTCTCAAGATTTTAGAGAAATGATAAAAAAACAACAACAACAAAAAACCAAAACACCAAGGAAGCCTAAAGCAGAGCCTTCTCTCAGGTTCTCAGGTCTGCATGCTGACTCCCTCAGGAAGCAGGTCATGAGAGTGCAACAAGAAGTTGGATTGATGAGATAGTCCCCTCGAACTGGGCCCTCTCTCCCCCTGGTACAGAGCTCACTACACGTTTACAACCCCAGGTCACTTCCTCTATAAGCAAACTGATTTCTTGACTTTGAATTAACTGAAAGTCTCCAAATAACAGCAACTAAATAACTCTTTTAAACAAATTGCGGAAGGAGGCAGGAAAGAATTCCTGCATCACCACCGCTTCACACTGCTCTCTTTTTACAGGCAAGCGCTCCAGACTCATCAAAAATTAGAAGGATAGCTTTTGGAGAATACATGGCTCTGCACAAGCCAGGCAGGTGGTGTCAGGGAAGAGGAAAAACAACCCCTGTACACACCAGAAGGTAGGAAGCTGCAGCATGCAGACACAGCAGCGATGGAGCTGGTCAGAGAGCACTGGTGCACATCATTACTGAGAGTGCTGGCTAAAGGGGCAACCTGCAAATACACGCCGTCTGCATTGGAAAGGGCCGCTGAGAAAAAGCAGGGTGGCTTACTCTGTGAGCATTGCTGGAACACTTACATCCAGGAGCCCCCCATAGCGGAAGATGCTGAGCAGAGAGTGCACGTGGCTCTCACTGGTGAAGTAGAGCCGTGTCCGAACGTGGCGGCCTGGTGACAACACTCCTCTCGAGTACCTGAACAAAAATCAGCCCCGTGTTATTCACAGCCTGCCAATGGATTGACAGCTACCACACAGCAGTATTTGTGCTCACTCAGTAGAAGGAAATCATACACTGGGAATTGTTAAAGAGCAACAGGAACAGAACAAGCAGAGTGAGCAGAAGATTTCTGCTGTCCTAATGGAGATACGTGGTGGGGCTGACGTGGGTGCATCACACCAGCATTTGCCCCTTGCAGAGACAGGGATGAAGGCACCGCCATCCAGCTGCAACAACTTCCTTGGCATCTAGCCTCACTCTCAACAGTTTCAGCGTGCCTTTGGATTTCTCTTCCTGTTCTAGGAACATCAACCTGCTTCCTTCTTGCTGTGCCCCTTGGTGCCTCCTTCTGAACCACTACACTCTTCCGGTATGGATCCCACGCACTGCCCCAGAGCCTGCCCTCCCCAGCATACATTACAGTCCTTACAGGGGATGTAGTTTGTTGACAGACTCATCTTCATGGGTTCTCTGTAGGTCCAACTGGATTTTTTTAATTAGAGGAAGACAAAAGCCAATAGCAATCTCCAGTTTTTCTTCCTTATTAATTCCATACTCCTGCAGGAAAACAAACAATAGATTTCTTTGAGCCATATTCTCAGAAGAAAGGAAACTGCACTTCCACAGTCCTGTCCACAAGCACCGCTACAGGTAAGGAAAGACAGAAAGGGAAATGCCATTCAGCACCTTCTTCATTTTTTCCACTTATTTAGGGAGGTAACGGAGGACAGAGGAGCCTCCAAGAATCCCAATCTGCCTAGACATGGCTGTCAGAACAGCTGAGAGGGACCAATACCATCAGCCAACCTCCTCTTGTGGCACATGCAGACCTGCCATAAGGATTAAACCAACAACTGCTGTTTGCAAAGATAAAACTGGGAGAGCTGAGCTGTAAATGGCTGAACAGCTTCTCATCAGAAACAGTGTGGAGAGATTCAGAAGCCCATTTCTGCCCAGCATGAGTGCAAGAGCAATTGGGCCCTGTTTGTTGTCAGAAGCCTATCCCTGACAAATGAAACGTTTATGCCTGGGGTGGAACAAAATAAAGAGATCTATTGCATTTGTCCCTCTCTTCCACTCACATTTCCATATGCAAAACCTTTGTGAGAAGCAAGCCAACTCTACAAATTGAACAAGCCCCAGTTTGACAGGGATGTTGAATCCACCAGAAAAAGGCTTCCCTTTAATATGGAAAACGTCGCCATGTACAACTTTGCACATGGAAAATGGGATGTTACAGCTCACACTCATCCCAAAGCTGTGCTAAATGCATTGTGATGAACATGCAAAAGCTGTTGCCTCATCTGCTCATCATTCTGATGCTGTGAGAACCCTCATCCAGGAAGAAAGCGCTGCCACATTGTAAACTGTAGATGGTTTTGGCCTTATGCAAATAGTAAGAGACCTGAGAGATACCCATGATACTCTGCCTCGAGAGCCAATGTAGGAGACACAAGAAAAGAGACAGTGGAAAGGTCAGAAAGTGACAGCACAGACCCTTCACACACGCAGGACAGGCTCTACCTGTGGTATGATCACATCTGCCAGGGCTTTGGAGAGTCGGAAGAGCTCAGCTGTGCCTTCCAGCTTCAGAGCACAGTTGTGCTGCACATCATACTTGATGCAGTCGTAAATATCAGGGATCTTGCTGATGTCATAACGCCCATTTTTCATGCGGAAATCTCTCTCCAGCTTACTCCAGCGTTGCAGCATCAGTTCTAAAGTCTCACTGTGGTAGAGCTGCAGGTCTAAACACCAGAGAGCACAAAACCACGTTCACATTCTGACTGCTTCCATGCAGATCTCAGGTGGAAGCTATGACTGACTTCTTCCAGCACAGAAGTGCCCCAATTATTATCAGTCGCCGACAGGAACCTTGCCCTGGAAAAGCCACTGGACCTTTTTGAGCTGCATCTTAAACTGCAGCAGTAAACTACTTCTGAAACATGTGAGAAATTAAAACCATCTGCCTTTAGGCTTGTTTGTCACAGCACAGGTGGATGCCCCACCGCTGCCTTTATGACGCCTCTGCGCTGTTATAAAGGAAAGCTCTCAGAACTCACCAAATGAGGACTAAAAAATCTTGCCTACTGCCATCATCTCCTCTCTAGGAAATGCCTGAAAAAGTCAGACAAGTCCCTCAAGGCCACTGTGCTGCTGTTTACATTCTCTTTGAACACAAGAAACATTTACACAAGATACTCTCTTTAACAGCAGCTGAAATCAGAACAGGAGCCTTTACATCGATCATACATATGGAATTCCACTCCAGAATTTCTTTGTTACAGTCATATATGTGAACCACAGTGATGTTTGGCAGCTGTGAAGACAGAAGAAGCAATCAATCTGCTGCAGACCCTTTTCAGCTGTGACACTCACCTGCAGATTTTGGGTCTTCCAATCGTTTTCGTATCTGGGAGGTGAGGTTCTCAATCAGGGTGAACACCTGGTTACAGATCTCCACAGGGTTCTGGATGAAGGTCATGGAGTTGAGCAGAGAAGCACTACCTGTAGGTGCTAGCTGAGAGAAGATGCCAGCAGAGGTTAGTTAATACCTTTACAGACTGGGAACACAGCACGTCTGCCTTTTTCAGCTGCCCTGCTTTATGATTCAGTGCAACAGTTGTGTTCCCAGCCGAGTGCAATAAGCTGGCCTCATCATAGAGGTAGTTAGGTATGATCTTAAAACTGCCTCAGGACCAATCTCAGAGACAGCAAACAACTGCTCTTAATCGACTGGACCTCCCTCTGCTGACAATACCCACCCCCGTCTCACTTTGCTTCTGTGCTTGAGGAAAGGGTTTCACAGTGTTTGAAGTATTTATTTGAGGTAATTAATGTATTTGTTAATGGTAATAGGCTTCAGTTCTGTAATTGTACCTCAGAATCCGGGGGGAAAAAATGTCTAGGGACTTGTTGGAGAAGCAGCTACAGCACCTTTATTGTCACTTTGCTGGATACAATCTGCTTTGCAGTTATCAGACATTGACAGGACAGCAAAATGGTTTGTAGCCAAAAGGTCTGTTCACACTCACACACAGAGTATGAATCTAAAATCTGGCAAAGGTGAACTGCTTGTCCACAGCAAATGGGATTGCAAGCCATGAGAACTACACCCTAATCAGGTACCTCCAAATGCCAGCCTATCACATATTTATATTTACAAAACAGATTTGCCAAAAACATTTTCTTTGAGCACTCTCATGGCAGTCAGATGCACTGGGATCTCTTAAAAGGAGAGAAAGGTCCCATGGTAATGATTTGAACAGAACAGTGGAGAACTGTGGGGCATTTTCACTTGGAGAAGGGTAGGCATTATTATTCCCCAGATCCTTCCTTTTCCCCTCCTGGGTTCTGCTTACATCACGCAGTTTTGACTAGAGCTGTTCTGAAACTAACAGAACTACTGCTTGCACACCAGCAGGTTTTGCATCTTAAACCACAGCGAGCTCCAAGGCCATGAAGATGCTTTACCTTTTCATAATCCTCCTCACAGAACTCAGCATCCTTCTGCATGATTTCATGCAGTCGTGCCTTCACTCTGTGTTGACAGCTGCTTAGAGAATCACTGTCACTGTCCAGGAGACCGTTCATATTGGCACTTTTCACCATCTGCACCAGGATGGGGGTCAGCTCTCCTTCCAGGGCCAGCAGACCCTAAAAAAAATACAGGACAAGATTTCAGCTGTGCAAACCAAGCAGCAAACATCTCTGGTAGCTTCATGGCCAGCCTTCAGTCAGCCGGAATGAAACCTCACCTGCCCTTGAAGAGCATTTTTACAGCCATAGCACCTACAATCACCAGTGATTCTCTTTGCTCACAGAGCTATTCTGTCTAAACAGCAGCTCTGCCTGCAGCGGCCCCAGAACTGTCCAGGCAATCGTTGAGCAGCCAACACAGTTTGCTGGGAGGAGTTGATACAGCTCTGAAGAACAGCTCAGGAGGCCACAAGATCTCCCTTGGCTCAAGCTTTAACTGCAGATGAGCCCCTCTCCTTCCCAACCTCCACTCTAGACTGCCCCAAAGTTATTTCATTCCTCTCGTAAATCAGGCAGTCAGAGAATAATCCCTCTGGCTGGGCAGTCATCCCAGAAACTAATTTTGTAGGCAATTAATATTCAGCAATGTGCTCCAACATTAAATACCAGCAATGCTCTGTAAGCAACTCCTTCTCCAGTCACAGTCTAACCCTGGGCAGCATATCGAAGGCCACAAGCACGTGCTGCTACAGCGCGCTTCCAGTGCTGCCCCACACGCTTGCTATCAGCATGGTGCACCACTGCCCTTCCAACACACAGGGGAAACTCCTAGGACAGACCCTTTCTTGTCACCAGAGGTTTTCCTTTAAAACTGGCAGATTCCAAAGAATAACGTAGCGGAGTTAGCAGATGCACACGAGAGGAAGAACCTTGGCAAAAGCCGCTGCTGTCATCTGAACTCGTCCCTCATCTGAGGCGTAGATCTTGAGATCATGGCGGTATGTGCTGTGCAGTCTGAGCAGGCCACATCCAGGGAAACCAGCATAGTCACCTGGAACAGAAACAGGCTCAGAACAGTATTCTGACACCTCAAAAACCATCAGCCAAGCACACTGTAATACCACTACTTCAGATAACAAACTTGCTTGCAATAACACAAGTACGTAGAGAATCACTAGCTAGCATTTAGACTACTCCAAAACAGTCAGTTCTAGCCATCACATGAAGCCTGAAAAGCTACTTCAGGTTAACTTGGCAAAGCCCATTTTGAGGAAGGGCTGAAAATTCACCAGTAAAGATCTGACAATTGCCTGCTAGCTTGAATATCCCTGCGCAGAATGAGGCCGCACAAAAGAATTGCCTCTTTTTATCTGTTCTTTGCACAAAAGCAATTCTGCTGCCGTCAGAACCACAGCCAGAGCTATTCAGCCGTGAGGCACCTGGCTTCCAAACACAACTTGTACAGCTACAATCACCTTGTGGCATGAGGAAAAAAAAAGTTCATTTGCGATGGCTGATCACAATCAGAGAAGAGATACAGGTAATAGGATAAAGCAGCTCCTGCAGCTCTGAGTCTGACCTTCCACAAACACTGCAGCAGTGAGTCATTTGATATTGGGTGGAATCTCATGGTCAGTTTGCACAGTATTCAGCCACACTGTGTGAGAAGACGTGGACACTGCTCCCAGCTCTGAGCTCATAGTTCAAGAAACACTGCTAGACTAGGACAGACCTCAGACAGAAGTCAGCTGCATATGTGGACAAAGAGGTCGTGCATCAATTGCTACACAGGCATCTGAGCATCCCTCACACCTGTGATCACCTGGGCTAAACAGCCTGGTACAGCCACAGCACAGGACCTGACATGCACGTAAGAAGCTTACCTTGGCCACCAGGGTACATGCAGCGAAAGGCTCGCCCCAGCTCTTCTGCCTGGACTCTTCCTGCTGGTGTCAGCTCTCCACCCCACTTCAGCACCAGGAGAAGAGATGGGGAAGGCTCTCTGCGAGCTTCTAGGAGACAAAGAGAAACTCCCTACATCAGATCTCAAAGCTGAGCTTGCAGTAGGAGATGGGGACAGGAAGAAGAGGTTGCCATCAGAGCCCTGTAAAGCATTAGCAGCACAAGCTTGACCCAGAGTCCCCCAGGAACCATGCTAGCAAGCACCAAAGTAGGAGACACAACTTTCTGAAGGTGTAGAGGCTGACATTCATGAACACAGAAGAGCAAGCCCTGTGGCACCATCTGGAGAACACTGGTACGTTACATTATTTATCAATCCAGCCCTTCTTATGTTGCTAGCAAATATAAGACATGAGTTGTTAATCATGCTTGCATCTCCTGAGGTCTTCATAGGTAAGACAGCTGCACAGACTCTTAAACACCAGGCTCTGAGGTCAAGGCAGCAACTTCAGGATTCTTTACCTTCATCTTCACTTGCAGCTTTTGGATGTCCATGAGGCAGATACGTCAACTGCACCTTACGGTTAATGCCAGAAAAATGTCCATACCTGCCACAGTGAGAAGGAGAAAAAGTGAAAATAAGTCAGCCTCCCTCTCCCTGTGCCAGAGATCCCTAGGCAGCACACAGCAAAAATGCACTGACTTTCTGCTACAGCACCAACTGCCATGGAATAAGAACGTTGTTGACATGCACTTGTGATCCAGAATGCACATTCCAAAAACAGCTAAATAACCTCCCAAATGAAATTTAAATACTCATTTTCTTGCCTGCTCTTCAGCTGACAGCATTTTGCTCTCTCATACCCCAGAGTGACTTTAGTAACGCTTTTCTAATTTCTATCTATCTTATATCTTTAGTGAATGAATTATTGGGATCACAAAGAATCCAGCGCACACTGTGAATGTAAAGCACCTCTACTGGGCAGAAAGGCAGGGGAAGGAATCATGGTAAAAATTCATTCTCTGTGCTCCACAAACACAGCTTGAACACAGCTTAAACACAGCTTAAACACAGCTTAAACACAGCTTAAACACAGCTTAAACACAGCTTAAACACAGGCAGTGCCCGACTGCAGCCCCGCCAGCTCAGAGAGGAAACCTCGTGCTTGTGAGACACAGCCACCACCACACTGCCTGTTATCTCAACTACACAAAAGCTGTGGACACAAACTTCTAATTTTTGCCAAGCTGCCTCTTGTTTAATTTTTTACATCCTTTTTTAAAATTGCATTTGTTCAAAATGTATCGAAACGCTTCATATTAATGCGCTCCTTAAAGTACTCCAGTTTCTTTCCCACAACAAAAGAAGCTCACCTTCGTCTCCAGTTGTTTAGCTGAATTCCAGACACACTGGAAACAAGAATCAACACCAGTTCTGACGCCAAGGGGAAAATTTTAACAGGATGGCACCTCTTAGGTACAGCTGTAACAGGGGATGGATATTCCAAGCTCTGGAGAACTGCTGCCCAAAACCTCAGCAGTCCAATTAGTTTCTACATCCCATGCTGAACCACAGCTCTGAGACAAATTCACAGTGCCCCGATATATGAATCCTTACATCTCCAAAACACTCTTCAGCTGCTCCAGTTTGGATTTCCGCTCCTCGATCTCGCAGTCACTGTGGGTTCCCAGTTCCACCACGAGCTGCCGTGCGATGTCCAGCACTTCCTGTTGGGGAGCAGACACTGCCTCAAACGCCCAGCACTTTTGCCCCAGACTCACCATCACATCTTGCAAGGCCTCCCCAGACCGCCTCACCCAACGCCACGTCCACACCCGCACTCTTACAGACACGTCTTTTCCTAAGAAGCTCAGCTCAGGCAGAACAAACTTTCGCACAGCATTTTGCTCCATCCTCGTCCTGCACTCCAGCCCCTGGCTGAACCAAGCAGGTGCTTCACACTGCCCTGCTCCCCATCCTGCAGCCATCCCTCACTGGAGGCAGCCACAGCAGATGGCCAAGTTGCACCAGGTGCTCCCAGCTCGGCAGTCTCCCCATCAGCCAGGAGCAGTTCCCACCACACTTTCACTCTGCTGAGTGCATTGTGGGTGAGGAGCGAGAAAACAAGGGTTTCTGCAGAAGACCGCTACCCTTCCGAGCTTTTACATCCTCCCAAAAGAGTGCCTCACACTGGGAACCAAATTACCTTTATCTCCCACACAGTCACCCCAGAGAGGACTCCCCTCACCTGTAGCTGCTCTGGCTTCTTCAGTTTCAACTTCCCTGTCTTGTAGCCATCATATTTCTCAAATAATTCAAAGAACCTGAACAGACAACAAAGAACCCTGATCCAGCAGCTGCTGTTTCAGCACTACAACTTTCAACCCTACGTACGCATTCACACTTTATTCTTCTGGGAGAACCAGCAGTCCCAGTGGCTCCTCGCCATGCCTCAGAAATGATGACAAAAATGAGTGTTTCCAGGCTCAGTTAAGAAAAGGAGGCAGCCACCAACTTCCCATTTAGTGGGGCACTTTGCTTGCAGGCCCTAGCAGAACTTGGCTCTTCCTCCCAGTGTTCACACAGAAGGTGATCAGATTCTTAGGAGACGCCCTTGGCTGAGCAGAAGGCGTCTGCTAGAATGGAGCCAGGAAAATACACTGCCTTCCATGCATTCAGGCCTTCTACTCTGCTTCTTGATTTGGCAAATGGCCCCTCCTCACTTTCCAGCAATGCAGCACCTTCTTGCCTTGGCTCTTACCGGGGATGCTTAACTTCCATCTTCATCTTCTGCTTTGGGGTACGATCTCCATGCCGGATGACTGCAATAACGCAGCGAAGCTCCATCCTAGGGAAACAGAAGGTACACTGCACACACGTGACTGTACACACCAGAGCTGTCACCAGGGAGTTGTTTCCTATTGTTCTTTCAGTCCCAACATAGCAGCTGAGGAACACAGTGCTGCTGGCTGACATCTGTCTGTTGGACAGTTTTTGCCTTGGGCATTTGAGAAGAAGGCAGGTACTCACATGGTGCCAGAAGTCGTGGGGACTATAGGAATATCTTCTGCCTCTGTTGGGATGGACCAGGGAATATGAAACTGAGGAGCCAATTCCCGCATGATTATGTTTCTGGAAGAAAGCAGAATGTAAAACTCACAAGAAATTCCATTCCTTGGATACCACCCCTTGCTTGGTGGTTCTGCTGAAAGATTTGAGGACCACAGACAGAGTTTCTCCTCTTCTTTGTGCAGACACATCCAGCACACCACAGGCTAGCTAGGGCACTGCCCAAAGGAACACAGCTGATGGCAGTGCAGGCCCTTCAGGCTCAGTTATAACGAACCCCTCTTCCCAGAGCCAACTTTTCTGAAGAAAAGCCCCTGGCTGAACCACCCTCAGATTTCTCTCTCAGGATCATCAGGACCCTGCGCTCATCGCACTCTGCTGGGGGCTCCACCCACAGCACAACCCGAATTTTACATACCCGAGGATTTTGGCGCAGTCATCGTAATACTTCATAGAGTTCTTCACAAAGCTGAAGCCGTTCACATCACAAACAAAAGAGTGGCCATTTGCCCGCAGGAGGTCAAACCCACACACAGTTTGCTGCGCAAGGAAACACCCAACACAGCATTCGTGAGCACCCTGCGGTTCAGCAGCAGGCTGGAGACGCGCAGCCAGGCGAGGCTCACGCAGAGCCGGGCACACAGACCTTGAAGGCGACGCAGACTTTCCGAGCGACCAGCTTCTCCATGGCAGTAAGCATGACAGGATAACGGATCTCCTTCCCTTCGCTGTCCCGTTCCACCTTCCCATCCAAGGCGGGGGATTTGCGAGCCTCTGCATGGGCGTAGTCGGGCCCAACGGTGTACACCTGGGAGGAGAGGTGGTCACAGTTGACGTGCCCAGCCAGACGGAGCGCACCTTCGGGGAGACGCTCCTGCTGGGGACGCGCGGAAAAGAGCAGGCGGCCTCAGCACCCATCCCCGCCTGGGGTCCGAGCTGCAGCGCAGCGCCTCGCGGCTCACACTGGTACATGAGCCAGCTCATGGCACCGCCAGCCCTCAGCCATCCCAGGCCCGCAGGCAGGCGCCTCTCCAGGCTTTGCCTCACCTTTACATCAGTGCCATCCGTAGGCATGAACTCCTCATAAATGTACGAGCCCGTCTTCCTCACGCTGCTCTCTGGGGAGTACACGCTGCTCCGGCTGCCGATCTGAAAGCACAGAACAAGCACCTCAGGGAAGACTACGGGGCTGCTTTTCTCAGATGGAAGAACTTTCGTCCTAAATGCAGAAAACCGAATGAGCATCTCTGAGAACACTCAGCTACCACAGCATGCTCATTTACGGAGGAAAAACAGACTCCGAAAGACAGACAGGAGGTACGTTTGGGCTTTAAAGAGGAGAAGGGCTACTACAGACCGCTGGGTTGACGCCAATTTCTACAGGGATACGGTGCGGATAAAGACCTAAGAAGTAAGGTGCATAGCTACTAAGAAAGTGATAATATACACTGCTGGTTCACTATCAGACCTATTTTACATCCTTCTAGGGTGGCATGACAGAGCTTATGGCCAGAAGATCACACCGTTTTCATTTTCAGTGAAGCTTTGTATACAATCTCAAATGGTATTCGTGTACACTAGCTAAGGAAACAATCATTTCAAGACTGCTAATGGCAGATGCATAACTGATTGGAAAAAAGATGCAACACAGCTTTAACTGCGTGCTGGCAGAGTGGTGCAAGCGAGTAAGGCAGATTCCAAGTGGAATCTAGAAATAAATAGTGCATTTATTACGTTTGCAAGTTGCAGCATGCTGAAAAGGGCAATAGGTAGCAAACAGGAAGAGATTTTAAAAAATCATCACAGTAAACTGAGAAAGTGATTCAGAAAAAAAGCAGTCTGCAGTTCAACAAGGGCCACAGCACTCTGTGACTGCCCCACAGGACACACAGCAGACAGGAGGTGGCGAAGGTGAAGCCAGCACCATCACCACAACATGTACTGCAATTCCCAGCTAGATGGGGCTCAACTACAAGTCCTGAGAAGGTACAGATTTCCCCACAACAAAACTTTCCTGTCCTCTCACCTGCCCCAGCACTCCCTCCTGAAGCCACATGCTTCTCTCAGTCCCACACATTTAACAGCCCCAACACTGAAAGGGGGGAAGCCCCTCACCTTCCGAAAGAGCCGCTGGCTGCCCCCACCTGCTGAGGTTGGGTAGTAAATGTACACATTATGGTCTTCAGCACTGACGGGCTTCTCTACGAACGGCTTTGGGAAAACAGCTCCGTTTACTTCCACATGGTCCTCTCCTTCCACCAAGTTGCACTCTGAAGATAAAGCAGAGCAGTGGCACAGCAGGACGAGGGGTAGCGGCCCCAGCAAAGAGCTGGAGCCCTCGGCCCTGGCTGGTGAGCTGGTTCTGCTGCTTGTACCTCTGTTCTCAAAAGCCACCAGACTTGTAAATCAGTCCTGCATGAGCTGATAACAGTGCCTGGCCTCTGCAGGACATCTTAAACTGTACTGTAAGTCTGTAAAAGCTGCTTTCTGCAGAGCCTGCACACTTACCTTCTGGTCTATCAGGGTCTCGATTGAGCACAGCATAGCGGGGCAGGTCTATTCCCTCTTCTTGAAGGATCCGATACACTTCACGCCTGACAAGGACATGAACAGTTAGAACGTATAGAAAAGTTTGGAAAGGGGAAAACAGCAGCTCTTTAACAAGGGTTACACTTCGGGGTGCCTGTCAGCACCTGTAGGAGCCCTGCTCACATCACACAGACGTGGTGGGAGCTCTGGTGTCCAGCATTAGCCCACACGTGCAGCCAATGCAGCCTGGCTGTATGAGTGCAGTACATGTCTGCAAGCTGGCTGTACCACCAGCTGGCTGCAAAGCATCTTGAAGAGCTTCACCAACATATCTTCCCTAGGGTCTGACCTGGCCTTTCTGCTCCCAGTTTCTGCCCCCGAATCCCATCCCAGCACTTGGCTCGCCCACTGACAGGGTGGTCTCTATGTCTCAGTGACAGCCTCATTCTGGGAGACCACTTCTTCTGACTTCATTTGGCCACTCCTTACAGTACGTTTGAATCAGAAGACAAAACATGCCAGTTGTTAACGTGCTTACACCTGATCTGCTCCCTTCCATGTCATGGGGAAACAATCCCTAAAATCCCTTGCTAAAATAATTTCCAGTTCATTTGCTGGTGGTCCAGAAGAAGCAGATTGCACAGTAAGCTGAGAAATCAGACTAAGAAGGAAGGGGCTCTGCTGGATCACAGACACCTACCTGTCCTGGATATAATATTGCATATCAAGGTCATTAATCAAGAACGGCTTGCACAGCTTGGCATAGGCAACTGCTTTATCCAGTGGGAATCCTGAAATGGAGGAAAAGGAAGGAAAGAATGAACGGAAGCTCCCTTGTCCAGACCTTAGGTAGCATGAGGCCTACTGCAGACTTTTACCTTTGGAGTGGAAGGAGATCAGGCAGTCACAAGGAGGCCAATTCTCCACCGGTTCATTCAGAATAATGTCCTCCCCCATAATCACCACTGTGATATACTCAAACTTGCACAGACGCTCCAGAATCTGCGTCATGGGCTTCGATTTGGACTTTTTGGTCATGGCACAGATTCCAACGACAATCTGCCGTTCAGGCGGCTACGAGAAGACACAGAGCAGGTTAGCATAGGTCAGCTGCTTTACTGAATTAAAACTGCAAGAGAGTGGAAGTGCAGCAGTACGGAACACACACAGGATTTGCTTCCAACCCGATGTGCTCACAGCTCTTGCTAGACTCAGATCATGCACACTTCCACTTCCCAACAGATTGCTCTGGTGGATGTCATGAAGGAGCAGCCAGACATCACTGCTTCTTTGCCAGGCACTATTATGCCTCCCCTGGGCACTAATGCTAAGGTCAGAAATAAACATCTGGGACTCAAACATGCAGCGGGGCTGGAAGAAGCCCACACCATGTTCTCTGGCACGGACCTTACCCAGACAGCTGACAGACACGAGAGGACTCAAAGAAGAGCTGCAAATGCTTCATAGCAAAAGGCACTGGATGCTTCCCAGATGTGTGCAGCAGAGCACTGTGCAGAACCCTACAGTGTCCACATGGGGGAAGAGGAGCTCCTCCTAACCAGAGGAGGAAATGTCTCTTCAAAAAAAGCCCAAGGCAGCACACTGCTTCTCTGGGATGGACAGGTGATTTTCTCAGGAATGAAGTGAGGGCCATCCCACCTCACTCTAGAGTAATCTGCTCAGCCCATTGCAAACCAAGCCCCACCACCACCAACTATCACCAACCCGAAACAAGTCCCGGATGAATCATGGGAATGAGAGGTTAGAGTTCCTCTGCCTCGCAGCCGTGCCCCTGCCCAAAGGTCGTGCAGCGACACATCCCAGCTTAGACACCAGCTCCTCCATCCTGTCTTCAGAAAAATCTACTTCCTCACCTCTAAGGAGGAAGTCAGTATATGCTGCTGCCAACATTTTCTAACTGTGCTGCAGGATATACCTGTGTGAGCCCCCAGAGGCTGCACAGAGACAGGATAATGGCTGATTAACGTTCTGCAAGGTCCCTGCATCCCACCCTGGGAACAAGCTTCAGTCCCTTCATTCAGCCCACTAAAAGGAAGGATGAAGGAAGCACCTCCAGACAGAAGCTCCTTACAGAGGCCATTGAGGGGACTGAAAGGGTGGGCTGAACAGAAGCCAAAAGCAGTCAGGAGCTGGAAAAGGTTCTCCTTTTCTGTAGCCTCCAAGAACAGGCTGCAGAAAAGAGCAAATGCTTCCTCTGCAGAAATCTCATTCCCTGCTCATAGTTCCCACAGTTTTCCTCAAAAAAATCCCTGGTGAAGTAGAAAGGTTTACAGCAATGCTGGGGTTAAGCTGCTAGGAGAAGGAAATATGCTGCTGTAGCTGGAAGAGACCTGCAAGCCAATAGGCTGGGATTTACTGCAGTGAGAGGCACCAGGTCTGGCAGCACAGCAGTATGTCAGAAACGGCACTGCCCCTCTGTACGGCGCTGCCACACTGCCCAGGGCCTCGGCCCTGCAGCCCTCACAGCCTCAGAAGTGCTGGATGAGCCCCGGATGCCGGGAGCTCCTTACCGACTCCTCCTCTTCATCATCTTCAAAGAAGTCCGTTTCATCCATCTTCGTGTTTGACCCCAGGAAGTCTGTCTCATCATCCCGGGAACCGACCACAAACCGCGGAGTGGGGTTCTGTCCCTCACTGGAGGTCGTCAGGGACGACATGGCAGCGCCGGTGGCCGACCATCCCGCTCTGGAACCGCAGTGCACAAACAGCGGTGAAGGGCTGGGCCAGGGCTGCTGGGAGCAGGGAGGGAGCAGGGGCTGGGAGCGAGCGAGCCCAGGGCCGTGCTGCACAAAGCACACAGGGGCAAGGCCGAAGGGGAGCGGTGTGCAGGAGAGACCCTTGGGTGCGAGGGGCTCCGGGATCCAAAACCATTTGGACAAGGAGCTCCTCTGCACAGAGCCCTCTGGCATCAGCCAGGAAAGGGGCAGTGGCAGCGCTCAGTGGAACGAGTTTAACCCTTACAGTGATGCACGCTCCCAGCAGCGTCTGAATCATGGAATGGGGCGGGGGACATTACTCACAGCCTTGTGCACCCAGAGACATCAGCTGGGACGCAGAAGTTGGGATGAAGCTCAGCAGAGTGACAGTGGCCTTACAATGGCCAATTTTCATCCTTTTAGCTCAAGAAGACCTGCAATAACAGAGAGACAGTAAGAGAGAGCTTCTGAGAGGCATGTGAGTTTAAGGGGGAGGAAAGAAAGGGACAAAGCAACAACTTTGGGGAAAGAGGACACAAAGCAAGCAGCAGGAACAGCTGAGTTTGCAGCTTGAGGCTCCCATATTGGAGGGTTGGCTGTGATTTACCTGTGCGCACTTGGTCTGGTCAGCAGGACACAAACTGTGCAACAAAAACACCAGGAAAGAAGCGTGCCCTGGAGCAGCACTGACTGCCATGCGAGCGACTGAGCTGAATGCACATGTGTGACCTCCCACAAGCAAGGACACGGCTGTTCACTTCTGCCCATAGCTGCACACTCAGGAATGCTGAGTGGCTGCCCTTTACCTTGGCTACCTCAGCTGTGAATTAGAGAAAAGCTCCCCTCCCTCCTCCCTTTGTCCCAGCACGGGAAGAGCAGCCTTTAGAAGATGACTTAGCAAACACCTCATGCTTATTTCCTACGCACAGGCACGAGACACGCTCTCCCTCTGCTCCTCATGCTCTCACATGATTTCCAGCCTTCCCCAGACTGACAGCTGAAGCGCCTTGTAAGCACACCCACCCCTGCAGCCCACACACCACAGGAGAGTGCACTGCCACACGCAATATGGGTGCCCATTCCTCCCTGCCAGTTCTCCACAAAGCAGAGACGTACCCAGACGCCACCGGCCTGCAGGCAAGAATCCAAACAGGCTGGCAACAGGAAGAAGGAACAGACAGCGATGCAATCGCCTCTGCGATCCCCTCGGAAATAGGGACAAAAAGCAGGCGTGCCTCCATGCAGAGGGGCACTTAGAGAAGGACAGGAGGAGGCGCGCAGCGCTCTGCAGCCATAGGAAGCCCTGGGCAGTGTGAGGTGACACAGGGTGACACGGGTGACAAAGTGACGCAGCCCAGCTGTCCTCCCAAACCGGGACTCCTCTGCCGCACTCCCAGCTCACGCAGTGCACAGAGCCCCGCGCTGCCCACCCCCCACACACCTGGAGCACGCAGCACACACACATCTCAACCAGCAGCACTTACTGCCGGGATGCAGTCGTGTCGGCGGCAGCGCAGCAGCACAGCTGTGCAGGTGCTCACTGTGCCGCCCCACTGCTGCGCACACGGACAGGAGCAGATCCCCAGGAGCCGTGCCACTCCTTTGCCCTGCACAGCAGCACGGTGCGGCCGTACCGAGCACTGTCAGTTCTGTGGATGAGAATTTAATGAAGCAAAGAGGAGGAGGAGGATCGCTTTCTCCAATCGTTTGCTCTCCCCTCCCTCCTGGACAAAATGGACCGAGCAGCAGGAAAACCTTTGCCCCAAGAACTAAGAACGCAACAAGTTCTCTGCTTCCAGCCTAGAGGAGAAAAAAAATAAGATAATAATCTTTGCTTTGCTCTGCTTTGGTCCATGGCTTTTCTGGAGGCAGTGCCATGCCACACTGAAACACAGTGAAAACCCCAATGCCCACCAAAGCCAAAGGCCACACCAGGCATCATTCCCTCAATGCTCCTGGGGGGACAAACCCAGCTGTGTCGGGCTGTTCTAATGAAAGGGAGAGTACAACCAAAGCACATGGTTGGCACTTGGAGATACTGACACTGGACTTGTGGCACGGAACCACCGTGCAGGAACTGAAAAAACCCCACATGAAACCACCACCGCACTGCTCAGCCTCCATCCCAAACCCACAGCGTGCAGAGGATCTGTGCCTGAGCAGCTGCTCCCATTGTCACAATCACTGTTTGCATTAAGGTTCATTACACACAAAAGGTGAAAGCCACACTCTTATCAAAGCCTGCGCCACGTCAACGCTGAATCACTTCAGATAAAATGCCCATACAGCCAGAGTTAATAATTACACACCGTTTGGACCTGCTGCGTTAAAAGGAAGCCTTCCACACTGATACAGCAGCTCAATGTGCTCAGAAGTTGAAGTCACGCTCTAAATATACCATCCCATCAGTAACAGCAAACACAGCGACCTGGTGGCTGTCCTGCAGCCTGCAGCTCTGCGTGGCTCCGCTCCCTTCTCACGGCATTATTCTTAGGGCTTTTGTCATCAGATTTATGGGATCGTTACGTGTGACACGTCACAGCATCAGAATGCTTAAGAGAATCATAGAATGGCCTGGGTTGAAAAGGACAATGACCACCCAGTTTCAACCCCCCTGCTATGTGCAGGGTCACCAACCACCAGACCAGGCTGCCCAGAGCCACATCCACCCGGCCTTGAATGCCTCCAGGGATGGGGCATCCACAGCCTCCTCACACAAATAACGATTTACCAGCGAACCGGAGAGGAAAGCAGCACTTCCTGAAGATTTTAAAGCAGGGACGGCTGTAAGGAAGCGCAATGATGCCGGGAATGCCAGCACTCCTTTAATTGCGGGTTGGCTGCGCTCTACCGCTGCACGCACCGCCCCGCGCGCCCCGCCCCGCGCCGCGCTGCCGCGGCCCGCGGAGCCCCGAGGGGGGCGGAGGAGTGCGCGGGATCGGCGCGGTGGGGGCTCAGAGCGGAGCCCCGCGCGAGTGGAGCGCGGTGCGGACGGAACGGCCGCCGCGGGGCCCGCGTGGCAGCGCAGCCCGCAGAGCTTCGAGCACGGCCGCTCGGCGCGGGCCACGGCGCTGTCGACGGCTCGAGGGCTGCGGGCGGACCGAGGGCAGCCGTCCTGGCGGGGGAGGGGAGGAGGGAACCGCGGGAGGAACAGGGCCCGCACCGAGGGGCGGCGCTGACCCCCACCGGCGCCGCCCGGAGAGTGGGGCCCGGCAGCGATGCACGGCCTCGGCCTTCCTCCCCGCCACCCGCCCGGAGCGGTTGCCCGGCGCGGTCTCCCCGATCCCGGCCCCGCTCACGGAGCTCTCTCCCGCCCCGCCCCGCCCCGCCAAGCCGGTGGCAGCAGGGGGCGCCACGCCGGGCGCCGCCATTTCCCTCCGCTCACCTGCGGCCTCCGAGCTCACCCTGCGCCGCCGACGCCGCCAGCGACCAATCGCGACGCGCTGACGGCCGCCGCCAGCCAATGGGAGCGTGAGGGCGGGACGGCCGGGCGCGGCGTGGCGGCACCTGGTGGCTGCGGGCGGCGCTGCGTGCACGTGGGCGCGAGCTCTGCAGCGGGCGCCGCGGTGCCACCGCCTCCTGCGTTACCACGGCAACCGCGCCGGGCCCGCCTCTCCGGGACCCTCCTGCAAGAGCGGCCTGCGGGACCCGACCCGTGCCGGGCTGCCGCTCCAGTCCCATGGGACCCGACCCGTGCCGAGCTGCCGCTCCAGTCCCATGGGACCCGACCCGTGCCGGGCTGCCGCTCCAGTCCCATGGGACCCGACCCGTGCCGAGCTGCCGCTCCCGTTCCAGCAGCCGCGCGTGCTGCTCAGCGCGGGGCCGCTCGACGCCGAGCGCGCTGTGTGCGCGGGCCAGCATTCCCGGCCCGGCCGTCCTCGGCGTGCGAGGGCGGCGGAGGAGCAAAGCGGCGGTGATGGCCGCCCTTCTCAGCCCGGGCCGCCCCGCACCGCCTGCCCGGCCCGGCCCCCTACCCGGCCCCGCGCCGTCGGGCAAGGCGTCCCAGGCCACGCTCCCCGCCGCTCCCGGCCGCAGGTGCGCGGACTTTGCCCCGGCCGCGCCTTCGCGCTATGCCGCGCCCGCCTGAAGTCCCCGCGGGGGCCGGGCCGGGAGCCCCGCTGGCCGATGCCCGCCGCCCGGTGCTCGGGGTCCCGTCCGGTCGGGCGCGGCCCCAGGCGCTGTCCGACGCGCCGTGCTGAAGGCGACGGCGGCCCCTGGGGCGGGGCGGGGCGGCCCGAGCAGGTGGCGGTGCCCCCCCACACCCCCGCCCCGTGCAGCCGCTCCCCGCCCCCCGCGCCCTCCCGCCGCCGCCGTTCCCATTCCCATCACGTCCTCCGCCGGCCCCCGCCGCGCTCGCTCCGCGCTCCGCGATGGCCAGCACCTTCGCCCGCGCTCTCTCCGCCCGCCGCTCCGCCGGGCTTCTGGCCATGGTGGGCGCCGGCTCGCTCGCCGCCGGCTTTCTGCTCGCCCGGGACACGGTCAGCGCCGGTGAGCGGCAGCGGCGCCGCTACCCGCCCAGGTACCGGGAGCGGGCGGCGGGGGCGCACGTGCGGGGGCGGGAGCGGACGGGGGCTGCTTCCCGCGGCCGCGGCACCGGGGGAGGGGGCGCGGGGCTCCCGCAGCTCCCCGAAGCATCTCGAGCCCCAGGGCGGCAGTGACCGGAGTCACTCAGCCCCTGTCTCAGAGCCGCGCCCCGCTGGGGGGAAACTGACTCCTCCGGCGGGACAAAACCCTTCTGCCTCGGGCGTCCGGGAACGGGCACGACGCGGCCCCGTCGCGATTGCGGGATCCGCCGTCCCCGATTCCAAGGGCACCGTTTCGTCGGGCGGGGCCGCGCAACCCCTACGGCCGCGCCTGGGCGCGGGGCTCCCGGAATCGGGTGCGTGCCTACCTTGGGGCAGCGCGGAGACGGCCCCCGGCCCGCGGGGCGGCACCGGCACCGCCGCGCCCGGCCGAGCTGGGGTAAAGCGCTGCTTTTTTTTACCCCCGTGGCCCGGGGTTTGCGGAAGGGTCCTGCCGAGGGCGGGGCGGTGGGAACCAGGATTCAGTCTGGCGGGGACGGCATCGCGAGGATGTTGAGCACACACACAGCCCGAGCTCAGTACGGTCGAGGAGCAGGGGGCTTCCCGACAGGGCCTCGCCCTCGCAGCTCGGGGCGGAGGGATAACGGAGGTCCAAGGCTGCGGCGCAGCCATTCGTGCTGCACTGCCGGTTTCAAACAGAGATGAGCTCTGAGGTGTGCGCTTGGAGTGGGCGCCGTGCCCCGCCTGGCTTACGGGTGCTTCTGGGGTGACGCGGCTCTGCTGGAGCCGCTGGTCGCGTCAGAGCAGTGCAGCAATGCCGAGGCTGCAGCACCAGAGCCGAAGATCTCACGTTGCGCCCTTCATGACTCTCCTTGCCAGGGGCTGCGGCTGGCAGCAGCCCGGCACAGCCCAGCGGTGGTCGGGGAGTGAGGAGCGGGTGCCCCCGTCCCGCTGCCGGCAGAGATGGTGTGGGGGAAGGTGCGGAACAGAGGAGGCAGAGCGCTGCTGCTCCAAACACACGCGGCTGCTGCGATCCTGCAGCAGACAACGTGCCGGCAGCGCGCGGTGCTGCTCTGCATTGCAGGCTGAGCGCTGCTCGTGCAGAGCGCCGTGCCGAGAGCCGGCGCCAGGCCGGGCCGTGGAAACGGAATGGAAACGGAGTGAACGGTAACGGCCGCGTGGTGCTGCCCGTTCGGCCCTCCAGCAGCGCTGCATTGAGAACTTTCTGAGCGGCCGCAGACATCGGGTCGGCGTCGGGTGGGGATGCTGAGGGCCGCGTGCCGGCCTGGCGAGACCCGAGGGAGGGGGGGCGCCCTGAGCCTGGTGAGGGAGTGACTCCCGCGGCTGTGGAAGCAGCAGTTGGTGCTGCTGGAAAGGGCACTAGAAAAGGCTGCTGGATCAGTGCAGACAGCTGTGGGAGGTGCAGCAGCGCTAGCAGACCCACAGAACCTGCTGTGCACTGAGCAGTCTCCTTCCCAGTGCAGAACCCCTGGTGCAAGGGCACAGAGAGCACTGCGAGCGCCCTGTCCTGAGGTACAGAGGGCCATGGTGCTGCACTGGCAGCAAGGTGCCTCCTCTCTGCTGCGCTGCCCTGGAACACTTCTATCTCTGCTGGAAAAGCTCATGGCCTCCAGGGCTGGGGACGCCACTGGGAATGCACCTGCAACTCAGCACTGGGCACTAGGCACAGAACAGCATGAAGCACAGCTCTGCAACTGGGTTCGGGGAACAAAACCAAGGGGAGAGCAACCCTGAAAGGCCAAGTGTGGTGCCACCTTCCTGCTTGTGGCAGAGGAAGCCTGGACTGCTGCTGCGAGAGCAGCATCATGGCCCTTGGCTCCCTGTGCAGCTCCGCTTGGGCTCTGCTGCGCATAAGCACAGCACCAAGTGTATAACACTGCCATTCCCTGTGATGTTCTGCTTATCCCGGCCCCATGCAGCTTAGTTGGGGTGCTCTGGAAAGGCTGAAAAGAGATTGCCCAAATCTTCTGGCTGCGATTCAGGACTGTTCTGGGGAAAGGTCTGCTCAGGACAGAGCTAAATCAGCACTGCAGCAGGCACAGATCCTGGAGCTTTTAAGTCTCTGAACCCTTTGCAGTGGGGCTAAGGACTGCTTATATCAGAGAGAATGCTTAAACCTAATACAGCCTCCTTCTGGCTGCAAGCAAGCCTGCTCGCCTTAGCAACCTTTGCTGGCTCTGAATGCAGTCTGTTGGCAGCAGGGTAGGAAGCAGAGTGAGCTGCAGTCCTGGCGCACTGGGCAGTGCTGGAGGCAGGGAAGGGACAAGTCCAACTGTCCCTTTCTGAGCAGCGAATGCTTTTTATGAGAGTGTCTCACACTGGGGAGACATGGGTCCGCATCCAGCCAATGGCAGGAACAACAAAAGAGGCTGAGCAGGCTGCATCCCACATGCAACAAGGCATCCTTTGAGCCAGAAAAACTCAAACAGCAAAGATATGTGCGTAGGATGGGGAGCAGCCTCAGCCCAGCCTGGGACTGGCTCTGCCCAGAGCAAACACCTCCACGCAAGGGGACAGGCTGGAGCCAGTGCTTCCCCACATGGAGCAGCACCATGAGCCCAGCCTCCCTTTCTTTCTGCAAGCTCCGGAAGCCACAAGCAACAGCCAAGCCATAGGCAGAGGGCCAGTGTGCACTCTGGGACTGCAGATTCAGGGCTGGGGATGGCAAGCTCTGCACAGCAGCATGGGGCCAGGAGCTTGGAGGCGGTGGCAGTGACAGCGATTGGCTCCTGCATTACTGCCACAGATTCATGTCCACACCTGCCACCTCTGCTTCCTCCTGAGCTGCCTGTGACTCCCTGAGGAAGAGAGGCCAGATATCCCTGGCCACCGTCCAGTCCTCCCGACCTGGGGAGGGCTGCTCCTGTCCCACTCTAGACAATGGTACCTCCAGTGGGAGGGATTTGGCCAAGGAGAGTGCGGTCGGGTCCTGCTCCGCCAACTCCCCTGGGAGCACAGGACAAGCACAAAGCCCAGCTAAAGTGGGAATGAGGTCAGGAGACAGCCTCCCGCTAAGCTGATTAGAAGAAAGCATCCCCCTAATACAATAAACTGTGCCAGAGCAGTGCGGTTCCCACCAGCTGCAGATCAGGGTCAGCCCATTTCCTGCCCCACAGCGTCTGGGCTGTGTGGGGTCAGAGCCCCCAGGGCTGCATGCAGACACACAGACCTGAACACTGACAGAGGCACAGCAGGAGCAGCTGCCCTGCGCTGTGCAGAACAGAGCAACCCCTGCACAGCCCGGAGCTGGCAGCCCTGTGCCCAGGCACTACGTGGGGCTGTGGCTGACGT